GGCCAGTGGTATAATAGAAACTTTCACTGCAGAGGTTCAATGTACCGAGCTCTGACTCTCACTGGCCGTTCTCACTGGTTGCCCGACTCACGAGCATCCAACAGACACGATTTCTGTCCCTCTGTTTCCCTCTTCCTTTTCCTTTCTCCCTCGCGAAGCCGCGTAAGAAAAGTTAAGGGAGAGAAGGGGAATATTTATAACATCGGTGCGAACAGCACGGTGAAATTTCTCGATGGATACCGTGCGTGGGTAAAGGCAACCCTTAGAACCTTCTCTCCCACCTCCTCTCTATCCCTTAACGAACAATAATGATCCATCCCTCTGTATTTTTATTTACCTTCGTTAGATTTCAAAAATTTTATTCAATTATCATGAAAAATTATTAAATATCCGAGGGTTAACTAAGGAGAATAATATCATAACAAATTACTTTGCTATCAGATAATACTTTTGACTTGCTCTTCACAAGATAACGCGTTTCAGCTCGCGAAAAAGAAAGTTTTGATGAACGTGACGATCGAGAATCATCGTGTTGTTCTTCCCGTGAGAAACACGAAGAAGAACGAGTCTCCGAAGCGAAATGTTCAACCATGGTATTCTTCGAGACGATAAGAATATTTTTATGATAGAATCGTGACAACTTAACGAGTGATTCACTGTTAAATTAGTATTCCCACATGGTGTACCGTTACACAAAATGTATCTTCCCCCTGATAAGCTGGCTGATTTCAAAGGTGGCTGAAAACCGGGTTCCACATCCGCGAGGACTCGCTCCGATAAGCGATAAGTCGCTTTTTCAAATAACGGTACCGCCCGAGGCGCGATAACGCGAGGCCAGCACGACTTTTCGCGCGTTCGTTTTCTCTCGTAGGAGAAACATTTCTTTTTTTTTCTCTCTCACACAGTCAAAAAGGCCCGAAAAAAAGAAAGAACAGAAGAGACATTAAGGTTACCTCGAAATCAGGCGAGTAATTAATCATTCCCAAAGAACTTTCCCCGTGATTTACAATTTTAACACCGTCTCTTGTGCACAGAATTTCGAATCATTTTTTTTGAAAGTAAAAAATTCGATGTTAGGAAAATTTTCGTAAGGAATTCAATTTTTTCTAGCGTTCATCAGCTGGAAGTTAATTAATCTATTAGATTTCCTGGTCGATAGTGACATTATTTTATCCGCGACTCGTTAGCATTGTCAAGAATTCGTTTCCTTCTTGCGATCGCGAGCCAGGGTACTTGAACCAGAGTTAACCGAGGACAGAAAAAGGAAGAGAGCCTGTGACTAGGAGAAACAGACAGCCATAGTCAGACAGTAAAGTGGGGAGTAGTAGATCTAGGATGTCATGGCGTGGGAGAGTCACTTTCACCATCGTCGGCCCCTATAGCGGTAAAATCTACCGTGCTACATAAAATTACGCGGTTCTGTGCCACTAGATTCGCGATGATGGTACCAACTTGACCGAAAATATGTCAGACACCGAACTAACGAGATTTTCTATCCGTACCAGTATACAATTCGTGCAGATATAACGTTTTATAACCGACATCTCCTTTTTCTTTATTATGCAAATAATAATACGATTTACGTTGAATTAAAAACGAAACGATAAATCGACGATGGAAGAATTTTTTCATCGAGTTATCGCAAACAATTTCACGTTGGAACAGTGATAAATTGAATATTGAAATTGATAATCGATGCTTCAGGTTCACTTACCGAACGATGAATTATGCAACGTGCTTCCTGTCGCGATGATTATCACTACGACGATGATCTGAAAATAAATGTACGAAAATAATTATACGATTGTACGGTAGGTGTACAAATATTGGTTAACCAGAAAGAGGTGGTAACCGATCGCCCGAAGCGGCGATCGATCGGCCAACATTTTTACTTTCTTCGTTATATAAAACAAAATCTCTAACCTTTCGTTTAGTTACATAAACACCGGAATTGAAGGTACCGAACATTGTAGCATTTTCATGTATTCCTGTACTAAGAATTTTTCAATAAAACCAAACGATTCCCTTCTTTTCCGATCTGAAACAAAAAGGAAAAAATAAATTAGTCTTCAAAAACCAGGATCATCCTCGAAAGTAGAAAAATTTCAAGTAACTTTGATTTCAAATAATTTCATTAAAAAGGTGATCAGATGAGTGGTAAAATAACTATAGAAATAATGAATCGCCGAGATACCATGGACGCGACTGAAACGCGATAATAACGCGTTACACAACTTTTCAATTATCGAGCAACGTCCGACGTACAATTAGAAACCGTGTGGCGAGGGGGAGAGAAAAAAGTGATACATCTGAAAAGGTTGTGCGAACCCTCTCGCGACAGCGTCGCGTTTAATGAAGCAAATACCACGGAGGAGTATCAGGGTAAAGCTTGAACCTCGAAAAAGCTTGGCCGAGATATACCGGGCTTGCGTGGCTTTGAGCCCCGGTACAGAGGTACGCTCACTAGCTCAATTGCATATACAAAGTGCACACGTACACGGAGATCGGTCGAGGCAAGATCGCCGGCGGCCTCTCAAGAAGAGACCGTAGGTTAGTGCATTGGCTGCACTTTCCGTCTCGGTGTGTGCATGTACACGCCGCAGTGGCGGCAGCTCTCGGTTGTATGCATGCATTGGTTACGCAAGAATAGTAACGTGTGTGAGACTGCTGACCCACATACGTCAGGGAGCAAGGACCCCGCTGCACCGCGTATACATGTACCCGCTCAGTGCCGCCTCGAGTGCGGGCTTTACTGTCTGTGTATATTCGCGCAAGCGCATGTTTGTCGCTCCGTTCGTGGATGCACTTTGTCCGTGTGTTAGTGAACGTAACCGCCATCTGGCGTTGCACGCGATTACCGTGCACACAATCGCCCACGTGGTTGTCGAAGACGGTTCGGTTTAAGGGCTGTTCACAACCGTTAGCCATCGGGGCCCGTTTTTCCTGAAGATTCATCGTAGCCCGCGGGCAGCGAGCTTTTCGCCCTCCGATATTTTCGATCGCGACCGAGGTTCTAGGTTTCTTCAGCTTCTACTAGCGCTAGCTAGTTTCTTTCGAGAGCACCAACGAGTAGCCGGGTTCACTGTTATCGAGAACGGGCCGGTGTAATTCCTGCGATCGAGTGCGACGTTCCAAGGTAGAAGGCGTGTTTCGATAAATATAGGGTGCTCGGAGGGTGAAGATCGATAGTTTGCGTGAAATTGCTGCGCTATTTAACGCCGGTACTCTATCTAGCCGAGAAACGAGATTAGCAGCACTTGCACGCCTTCGCCTGCAATCTCTACCCGTCTTCCTTCCTAATCGAATTATTTTCCTTTTTACTTCTTTCCTTCGCTTATTTCGACCCTTAATTTCAAAACTTTTTAATAACAACAAGATTTCGACCAAGCGGGGTACAATTAACTAAACAGTTGGATGTTTCCTCGGTCTTTCTAATGATTAAACTCTTCATTAAAATGAATTGCAAGGGAAGTAATGATTGTTTGGAAAAATAATTTCTATATTAAACATGAACCACTGGGGTAACACTTTTAGAGGTCGTCCGAAATTCTAGTGAACGGAGAACTGGCACGTTCGAAAGGGGGAACAGAAGAGAGAAGAAAGCTGCTATTGCACGAACTTTGTGTAAGCAGGGACATAAGAGAAATCATTTAACGTGTAGAGCCGCGGATAAGAGAAATCGCTGGAATTAAGAGCACTCGACGTGACAGAGAAAGTTCCCCCACGATTTTACGAGCCGCGAATATTTACTTAAACTTCGGTAGCAGGAAGCTTGACTTGCTTGTAAACCGATAGTCATGATCGATCGGTACTGTATGGACAGATTTTTGAATTGTAACTTTCAGAAAGTTATTTGCTCAACAAACAACGTTGATCGAACAGCTTTGAGACCTTTCATAAATCTATGCCACGATTGACCCGATCAACCCTCTTTCCATGATTAAAACAAGGAAATCCTCGCGAATGGTTGTCAGAGTGTTAACACAATGTAGCATCGATTATCCAGCGATGGGTCGCGTGACCGAACATAGTTGCATACGAGCTATCGCGTACGATTGGCCTGCATTGTTCACGGGATGTCGCGTTTATTGAAACGAACCATGGTTTGTCATGGACCGTTTCTGCAGCAACGGTCGTAAAAGCTACTCTATTATTTATCGTTATCAGGAATTTTGCATATCTCTAATGAAATAAAATTCCAAGTCTTGGTAACAAGGTATCAATTAAAACAAAATTTTTCTATAAATCATTTTTAAAGGCTGAATCCACCCTTGTAGGTTCATACAGCATCCTTTCGTAGACGCATCGAATCGCAGGGTTTCGCGCCGTTGCACCGTTCAAAGACACTGCCATGAAACGATCCAATTGTACGCTATTGGCTAAAGAGGGGTTAATGGCGAACTATGCGTTCGCCGTAATCGCGAACGCGTGCGTCCGACACACGTATGTACTTTCACATTCAGTCCATTCTCTTTGCGATAGCCGATATTCTCAACAGAACGGAATTACATCGAGCACCGTGCCAGAGAGAAGCTTCTATGGTCGGTTCTATGTTACCTATGAGGTTGGGAACCATCATTTTAGGGAGCCACCAAATTAGGAAGCCTAATTTCATCGCGAGCGTACTCGTAATAAAAATTATCATTTTCAACCCGTTGAAAGATTTACAGTACACATGATGGTACAACAATAAAATGATACTAAATATCCGAGAAGATAATCGTCATTCATGAAATACCCCCGAAAGATTCACGCCATCGTTTCAATATGTATATATCACAACTTGTATAATGAAAGAGAAACGTGACTAGACGTTTCATGATTAACGAAGATGTTTTTCGCTGCAGACACCAGCGAGACGCGTCTATCGCGACTTTGATTTGCACGATCCTTTGAACCCGTCATCGTTGATTACCTTCGGCTATTTATTGCATACTAGAATTTTCTATCCTATTATCGGCTACAACGAGCTAATCTTTGTATATCGTTCTTGTTTACAGGAATTATGACCCTTACGAGCAGCCCGTGTGAGCTAGACAACATGAGCTTGTTTCAAGACCTCAAGTTGAAAAGGAGAAAGGTCGACTCCCGATGTAGTAGCGACGGTAAGAAATTCTGTTTCCATTTATATAATAATCATCGTTAAACAATCGTGTGCAGAATTGACTCTCTCATTAACATGTCATTATCAGATATACTAATATTCTTCATCATTCTTCCATGATCAACCCCTAATTAACATAACTATCTAATTTCATTTTCAATTACACACAGCGTTATTTTTCATATTAAAAATACAAAATTCTTAGCATTTCATCGTCGACTTCTTTTCGAATGTTCTATCTTGTACGAGAACTAACTGTGCTTGTTTCGGAAGAATTTTTCATTAATTACCCGTTAAATCATTAATTGTCGAAAAATGAATTGCTGTTTGCTAAAGCGAGCAGGCGGACAATGCGTATCGAGATTTCAACAACAGAAGGCGTAATCATGCGTTCGAGAAGGATCGTATATCATTGTCCGGGCAAAGTATAACACGCAGACAATCTTTTCTTATTGAGAATACTGGGAACGAGTTGTGTGAGACTGGTCAGCGCAACTGTAATGATTAGTTACCGCCCATAATGCCACATTTGATACCCTTTATTGGCCCGATTTTCATAAGCCGCGTATATTACGGTGGAGAGCGCATGAAACGCGCGTGGTAACATCAATCATGCTTCATCTGTTCCGCTTTGAACGCCATAAACGCTTGAGCGTATCATTACGCGAGCGAAACTTTTACGTGGAGGCTGGCTCGAGCCACGAATTTATTATGTCTTTCGTCTCGATGGATCCCTGGATCTTCTCCAATGTTGGTGCAACAAAATAGACACGAGTTTATTTAAATAATGGTATCAACAATGTAGCACGAGTTTCCATCGCGCTCCCGTTCTTCGTTATTTCCACCGATTTCGTTTCTCAGTGAATCATTTCGAGAAAATATTCTCAATTTAATTTTTAATTAGGATTACTAATTAAATGGTGGTATTAGGATTACTAGTTCTATTTTAACGAGGATATCATTTAATAATCGTCAAAAAGAATCTAATATTCCTCTAAATCGAAGGTAACAATAAGGAAAACAAAATATCCTGATGGAATAGTCAACGCCATTAGACAATGTCTACCTGATTCAGAAATTCTGATCCTTGATCCCGTGTACGTCTCTTCACAGAAGCATTCTATCGTTCTATTAGGAAGAGATTGGTTACCATGGGGGTAGTTGAGACGCTGTTGTAGAGCAAACGGGGAAGGTAAGTCCAGGAATAGAGGGGGTGGTGGTTGCTGGCGTCGGTGCAGGGTTGAACATCAACCCACGCGGTTGCCCGGTGCTTAGTTCGGCTTCGCCTGAACTCGAGTCAACACGCGTTTCGACGCCCGCGATTTTTCCTCATATTCAAAGAAAACCCTCGTCGGGCAAAGTACTCGAACAGACTGATTATTCGTAGTGGAAGTACCTATCCGGCGAGCAGCTTGTTCGTTAGGCTGTATCGATTTTTCCAACGATACCAATGACTCTCGACCAACCGGCGATTAAAGGTCAGAGATCGCCGTTGGCGGGAAGCGAAATCGATGCCGACCACGGTGAACCTGGATTGTCGTTACGTTGGAAACGATGCCGAGCCGAAAGAGACGCGAGGATAACCGCGCAGTTTCTCGTTTCCCGCTTCGAAGGAGCATCGTCGATCGCGGAGAGTTACGTTGGACGCTTGTTGCCCGACCCATCGACGCGGAAGCGATATGAATGGGTTTTTTCGATGAGCGCGTGTTCGCGTCGCGGGAAATCATTGATCTTCCTCCAGGACAACGCCAACTACGTCATACGCGAAATACAGAGCGCGTAATTACGCGGTGACCAACGGAAACGGTGCGATGAACGCAACAATATGGAAAGCTAGAGAGAACGGAGCGGAGACGAGAATAGTTCTGCTCGCTGGTTAATCGAGAAAAGTGATATTACGGGCAAGCGGTAAACAAAGGACTGATTAGATCGTATCTGACACCTACGTGGGATAAATGTTTAATTAATTAGTTCGCCGGTAACGTTGATAGTTGTTTGTGATTTGGTAGCATAAGACTTTCTACGCTCGCTTTAATTTTTATTTATTTATACTTCAACATTTTTGTACCGGTAAAATTGTGATGATAATTGAAAATTTTTATAGATTCTATCGGTTTTCTAAGGTTTCAGGTGAACTGTGATTATATAGAGAAAGGAATTGTGATATTTTTCGGTACGTCTGACTAATGCTACGTTTGTACTACTTAACGCTCTCTTCTGCGTCGTTGGTACATAAATGAAGATAGTTCGATAAACTTGCAGGGATATAGGTTTATTATAAAGAAGACAATATATTTATATATTGATTAATGGAAATCGAGAGCTAAATCAAAACTATCGCGTTATTAACAGATAAATATGTGGAACCATAAAAGATGTTCTAATTCTGAATTTAAATAATGAACAATTTTTCTCGGTACCTATTTTCGAAAACCTTGTTTTGTATCGATATATTTTTGAAAATCGAAAGTTAGAAAAAAGAAAGAGGAACAATAGTTAGTGGAAAAGTGCAACGACTTTTGAAACACCGATGACAATCGATGAAAGTAAACGAGCTTAACGAAGAACTTGTGATATTCTAACGATACGCAACAAGTAAACACGGTCTTACGGTTCAACGAATATTCGAGGATATATAGAGAAGTTACCAAGGATAAATACTGCCTACGCTATCGGCACAATGAACTCTCCTTTGAAAGGCAACATGTCCCTCGTGTCTAATCTCCACTGGTTGGACTACTGGAACTCGTTAAACATGGATTTCAGAGCACTCCAAAGGACATCGCTAAATCATTTTTCTCCCTTCGATCCGTATCTCTATCATCCGTACTACGGTTTACCAATGCCGTCTTATCAGAGCTGTTTCGATTTTCATCGATACCTTAGATCAGGACCGATAATGGGCGCTCAATCAATGTTCGATCATCGATACTGCTACTACGATTCGAAGAACCTTTGCTCTTCGATATTCGGTAAACAGAAAATGTTAAATAATCACCCCTGGTACAAGCACTTATGTTTTAATCGAATCGTTTCTTAATTTAAAATATTTTTCTATGTTTACACCTGAAAGTCTGAAGTATTATATAAAGCGATTCTATGAAAGGCTGAGAATTCTAATTTTAATTTCATCAATCATGCATTATTTCTGACCCGTCGATCGTCTCTGGCACCCGTTGATGAATGAATAATCGTACGATTACACGTGATCGGAATGGAAAGGCTTGAAAATAAGATTGAATAACCGGGCTAGGGAATCGATTCCATCTCGTCGCGAGAAAATCAAAACGAGAAGAGGACGATAAGAGTCGGTAAATGAATAATCCGCGGGAACCGATATTCACGGTGATCGGGCTATTAATAGCTTGGAAACTGGTACCTAGGTACCTACAATCATAGCTCGGCCTTGTCAACTGCATTCCTTCCTTGACCTACACGAACACCCATAGTCCCACATCCTTTTCACGATCTAAACGCTTTGAACGAGTATTACAGTTTCGTTTCCCTTCTGTAAATTGCTTTAGCTTTGAAATATCCTTTTCTCTACCACGTGTGATCTCAAACAACATTTTCAACACCCTGGGATACAGTACACGTCGCACGGTTATTATCTTTGCAAATAAACTTGGACAAATTTTGAAAATTTTCAGTAGATTATAGTGAAAGCACCGTAAGTCTGATTTATGATTGAGTCGGTACAATATCATCGAGGGTCAACCCTCGAACGGCGGACCATGGGGAGAGCCACTTGAAATATCCTAAGATTCAACCCTCAAACGAACAGGAACAACGAAATACGAGATGTTCCTTTCGAAACGCGTCTGTCAACGTAATAAAACATCGGATTGACTGCGCGCCATGATAAATGTTATTCATCATCGCGATAGACCACCGGGCATGCTTATACACGATGATTAATAACATTTTCATAACGGCTGAAACACGAAAGACCAAACCCATTAACGTGAACATCGCGGTTCGAGATGGTTACGCGATCGTTGAACCGAATAGTTTAACCGGCGAACGAAGAAGAATTTCATGCCGCGTAACTTTCATAATCTCGTGCGAATCGCGCATACGGCCCGATGGAATCGTCGGCTGGCAATAATTGTTATTAATGCACGGTGAAACGCGATTGCCCAACCACCGAAGAATAGTAATGAACAATACTTGTTAGGTGTTACGTAGGAAAGTGTCAAAACACAGAATGGAACTAACGTGTTCATCTCAATTAGGACAGAGCCTTATAAGATCGATATAGATTATTCGCGGTAACAAAGGTGAATCTTCAGTTAAGCGATTTATACCTGGTACTTTCCACATTAGAAAGTTCGTAATAAACCATCATCATTCTCGATGCGTTTACAATTGGACGCCTTTGATGTAGCAATCATGAAATATTCGCGAACCAGTTCATCATCCTCTCGGGAATATCAACGCGTCTCTCGGTAACCCACGTGTTAAAACTGGCAAAACGATCGTTTGCTGGCCATTTTGTTAAGAATCATTCTCTACCACCACCACCACCACCACCACCACTATCACCACCATCATCAGCATGAAAAAAAGAAAGGGCAGTCCATAATCATGTGCACACGACACGCGTCAGGACTAATCGCGCTTCAATCCGCGCCCGTAATCGCGGCTTTGCCGAGGTAAAAACGCGTGAAAAATTTTCCACCGAGTATAAACGTGAGACCAACGCCTTATTTCTCAGACTCCCCGGTATCCCTCGGATCAGCAGGCTCGCCGCTCGGGATCCAGCCGGCGGACGCTCCTTCACCCATAAACTTTCCTGCTCCAGGGGAGAGCATGGCTGACACCTCGACCCTGTCGCCGGAGGCTAACATGCCGGGCTCGCCGGGCTGCCCCGTGGTCAAAGTGAAAAGCGAGTATCTGCTAGGCATCCCGAGTCCAGGGACACCGCGAGATCCTCTTCGCGGAAGTGGCATGGCAAGTGGCATGGAAGCTCGCGAAACAGCCTGCTCGGACCGTGCGTCGCCCGATTCAGTCTTCCCGGATGCCGGTTCGATGGCGGGCTTCAGAGTCGTCGAAGAACAACAACAGCAACAGCACCATCAGCACCAACAGCAGCAACAACAACAACAACAGCAGCAGCAGCAACAGCAGCAACAACAACATCAACAACAACGTGCTGGTACACCAGTACCAACCAGACTCTCGCCTTACTCGCCCATGCAAGCGGTCTCCACCACTCCCATGCCCCAGGAACCAACCTCGAGGAGCGACACTCCCGATAAGGGTGACTTATCGTCGGCCCAAACTAAGGAGGAGTCGGATAACTCGGTTTTCGACGGAGGAGGCGGAGGCGGTAGTGGCGGTGGCGGTCGTTCAGAGACCTCCAGTCAACCTAGTCACCGGAGCAGTCCATCTTCCCAGTACAGCCCTAGCCAGAGTATGAGCCCTAGTGCCAGCACGACACACGGTTCCCAACAACAGCAACAACAACAACAACAACAACCGCAAACTCCCCCAACACCACCGAGACCGCGGGTACCCTCGGTACCCCCTCATCTTCTGGCTCACCATCAATTTTGGTCGCAAAACAACGGTGTACAAGGATTCGCTACGCAGAGGCTATTGAACGGGGTGATCAACAGTACGGTAACCTATGGACAGAACGTGGCTGTCGCATCCACCAGCAGCAGCAGCAGCACGAGTCTGAGCACCAGCACGGGCAGCGGCGGAGCTACTTCCACGAGCACCGGCTCGAGTAGTACTGCCTCATCCTGTAAGTCCTAGTCCAATTTACTTTCCGAAGACTTTTAACCCTACTCCGATATGGAAGACCCTAGATGGTATCCGTCTTTGATTACAGGCGAAACGATGAAACCACCGGCGCAGAGGCCCGCGCCGGCACCCCCGCGACCACCTCCCACAGTGATCATGGGAGAAATCGGTGGCGTGAGGACGATGATATGGTCCGCGCCACCTTTGGATCCCGTACCACCGCCGGCGGCTTCGTGGACCACCACGGCCGCGGCAGCATCCTGTTCCTCGTCCGAGGAATCGGCTGCTCAGCTGTTGCTGAACCTTGGACAAGAGTCCAGGGGCAAACCATCCTCTGTTTCCTACCCGTCTGGCCCGCCGCTCAACATGGAGAGGCTATGGGCCAGCGACCTGACGCAACTACCGGCCGCCCAACAAATGCAGGCGCTCAACTTGACCGCTTCCGGTTCCGGTCAACCGTGGACGAGAAACGGAGGAGTGGTCAAATCCGAGTCGACGTCACAGTCGATATCGGTCGCACCCCCTGCACCACCTATGCCACCTCAAGAACACGAGGAGGACGAGACACCTATGATATGCATGATCTGCGAGGACAAAGCTACCGGTTTGCACTATGGCATCATCACGTGCGAAGGGTAAGTGAAATCATTCTTTCTTATCGTTCATTTTTCGTCATTACTTTGAAAAGTAATTCTCGAGATTGCTAGAAATGCATTCGAGCGGTATGAGAGCGAAGTGTGATAATCAAATTAGTCGTCTAGAAAACTAATGCCACTGTATATCTCGAAATACCATGGTTAGAATGCCTTTCGGCGATACGTTACGCGCCAGAGATTCAGACGATCCGCTTAATTAGAGATAATTACATTGAAACTATGTAAGGAAAGTTAGGATTACACGACCCTAAAGGGTGCCCCACCACCTCTGACCTTTTTGGTATCCTCAACTTGCACCTGCATCCTAGCATTGAACTATACATCGTTGGGGAAATATATTGTTTCGTGTGTCTTCGAGGTTACCGCGTCAGAGTTGAACTATGAATGTAGATAGGTATCCATCCGCGACGGAAAACAACTCTCTGTGTCATCGTGTTTTTCATCCTTGTCTCTTCCGTGATATTTGCGATATCATACGCGGTTCTTTTATTTCATCGTTACTTTGCTCTTTGCGTTGTACGTTGTTTATCGAACAGGCTCAATTATACTTGTCATTCTATCGAAACTGAATTTTTCATTATGGAAGAGTACGTTTGAAACCGACTTTCGAAAATAATAACTAACAAAATATAGTGATCTTCAAAGATACTTTATGGTACCGCTTCGTTAATTAAGAAATTATTTTGAGAAATAAATTGCACCGCAAGTTTCGAGTTGATTTATCAAACTTATTAGCGAATAAAAATATAGAAATTTTCTATTTGAAGAATAACGATACAATATGTTTCCAAGGTGAGATGAAAACTGTATTTCAAGGTGTATCCCGTTCTAATATATTCTGCAACAGGGTTGATTAGTCCCTTAAGTTACAAGAGGGGTATCGTAACACGGTTTCGCGTCAGTTTATTCAATGTCTATCGTCGTATCCAACAAATCTGGCAAATTAGTTGGGAAAAGTCGCAGACGAGTTTCCTTATGCATCCCAGCGTAGCCGTAATTCTGCTAGTATGAATGTTTAATCTGTTTCTAGTATCATCGCGTTCCCCTGAGAAGCTAGAAGTAAACTTTCAAACTTAATTCGTCGGATAAAAAAATCGTAATGACTAATCGCATCTGTATCTTACGTTTTACTTGCCTCGTACTATTTTAGTACACGTAATCTTTCTTTCTCGCGAAAGTAACTTTGAAATTTTCATTACGAACAAACTGTGCGATTGTTTGATGAGAAATCGTGGATGTAATATGCGAAGAAGGGTATAAACCGTTTATGCGCAGGTGTAAAGGGTTCTTCAAGAGAACCGTGCAAAATAGGCGGGTGTACACCTGTGTAGCGGAAGGTGGCTGCGAGATCACGAAAGCCCAAAGGAACAGGTGTCAGTACTGTCGCTTCAAAAAGTGCATTGAACAGGGTATGGTCCTTCAGGCCGTTCGGGAAGATCGGATGCCTGGGGGAAGAAATTCTGGTGCTGTGTATAACCTTTACAAGGTACGTAAATCCTAATTCTTCGAATATCTATAAATTCTAATTCTCTAAATAAACGAACTACTATATTCTGGTAAACCTTCGTACCGAGGTGGTGAATTTAAAATGAAACATCTTGTTCTTTAGGTGAAGTACAAAAAGCACAAGAAGAGTAATAAATCGAGCGGAGTTGGTGGAAACATGGGTGGCATGAGTAGCGGCGGTAACGTTGGCGGTGTTAACGGGTCGGGATCCCTTGGTGGTAATAAAAACACCATGGGCTCGACGATGCTTGACAAGCATATGGCTGTAGCTGCAGTTGCTCACCATAGCCAACAGCAGCATGCACAGCTAGCCGGTGGTTTTCTCCACCATCACAAAATTTCGTCGGGCGACCCGCTTAACTCGCAATCTACCACCAGTCACTCGAGTCACCCAGCTCATTCGGGTCATCTTGTTAACGGGACGATCCTGAAGACAGCGCTTACCAACCCCTCCGAAGTGAGTACATTTCTCTATCTTTAAGTCGAATTTCTAATCGTTCATTTAATCACACGACGATATCGCCAATATTGGTTCAAATGATCCGAGTCTTTCCTGACGTATGAGGACAGGAGTGTATCCACCGAACAAGTACGGTAATTTCCACTTGTTTTTCTACTCGTTCGAGCATTTCTTCTTGAACGGTGACGCAACTCGTTCGATTTCACGCGATCTTCCTGCGTGATAACTCGACACGAGCTCGCGTTGCATCAACAGATTCCACGGGATTTCTCTATCAGCACCATCAAAAGCGATTATCTAACGAGCCAATTCCACGTGTGAAACATCTTTTCCTTCTTTCCAATTTTTTTTTCTTCTTCTTTTTTCATCCTCCATTGGCCGGAGCGCATATAGATCAACGTGCCGGGACGTAACAACGATTCGAGTGATTTATTCGAACCGGCTCCGCTAGAAATCGAGCTCGGGTCGACAAAAGTTGATCTCTTCGCGAGAGAATCCAACGTCGATGAGAACATCCCGAAGGCATCTTTACTTTCACTTTCGGAGCAGCTGCACGCGATCGAGGATCACATGCTTCGTCGAAATCTTTCTTCTTTCGTCTGGTTACAATATCCATTCACGGGAGCCCATAAATGTACAGTCTGTCGCGTAACTGCATCAATCTTGTAAATTAATCAAAAACACGTATCCTCCTTCTTCTGCCAAACCCATGTATGTGCAAATTGTTCACTTGTTTTTTTAATTAAGGTCTTTCGATCGAACCTTTTCTTCTTCTCAATTTTATGCGAAAGTAACAAAGGCTTCCCTATGGAATCCGATCGTTCGAGAAACGTTATTCAATAAACGCGTTCCGAAGCAACGATGGCTTCGGAACAGAAGTTGAAATCATACAGGAAATGGATGCGAACGATTACAAAAGAATTGCCGAGCGTTTACGACTGCGTTACGAACAGGTAAGAAAACGGCGAGAAATTTACGCTGTCTGAGGTAAAACGCGATTACGAGCTCCCACGTGAGATTACATTCATAAACGCGATGGATACGCGCTGAAGAACGCTTCGTCGTTTCTAGAAGAAAAAAAGTAGGACAGAAGGAACAGCAGAGATGAATAATTATCGTAGGAAAATTCGTTTCTCTATTACTGCGACACGCTACGTCACTCCAACCCTAATATAAAGATTACACGATTCCTATGGACATTTTTACTGCACTTATTTTGAATATCGTGCTTGCAAGAGGATTATCCGTGGCTCGAAGGAGAAATAACGCGACGAGGGAAAATCATCGGATTCGATCGCTTTTCAGCGGAACGATCCTGAAATGAATGAACTCCCCGTTGCAATTTCACTTTCTTACGAGTCCGCTTGCGCAACCCTCAAGGTTTCCCACATTACGAAAGCCGATAGATATGTACAACGAGCAAGCAGTTCGAGAGCCGAATGGCTGGTCGTCGTCGTCTCGCATGCTTTTTCGTGCTCTTCTAAACGTGCACCGTATTATCTTTAACATCGTGAAAGTGTTCCCTACGTGGCAGCAACAGCGACGATGAAAATTAATCATCCGCCAAGTGAATCCTAAACCGATCCTGCGACTGATGAAAGATCATCAAATTCTGACCGAATTACGAAATGGACTGAATTTCAAATGGCCGATCCAATGCAGTTCTAATGCAAAATTTAATGTAACTTAGACTTTTTTTAACTAAGGAAAGATTTAGGGAGAACCTAATTCGTCACACGAATGTTCAGAACATAAAAACATCGGGACATTGTGCAAGGTATTATTTGTTGGCCATAATAAAGGTTAACCGAAGTTGTTGTGTACATCGAGCACGTGAGGTATGCAAACAACGAGAAGAATTACCGGGAACAGTCAGCCCGCTAGAGGCCATTGCCAAAAGTGAAATCGATGACTCGAGGACCGGATAAATATTGCCGGTGGAGCTCCATTAAGGAGGTCACTTTCCATCTTCGAACGAATCATTGCATGTCTCTGCAAAACACGGATACTCCTGGGAATTTCAAAAACATCGTCACTTCGAGTTTCGAGGTAGTAGATTCGGTCTGATAAGACCATTTCAAGAGGAAGAGTTTAAAATTTCTAAGAATCTTTCTAAAAGTTTGAAGTAACTTGAAATTTTCAATGAAACACGGAACTGAAAGTGCAAACGATACTTTGCACAGACATGTAAGAAATGAATATGAAAAGAGAGTTGGGAGATCGATTGGTGTTAATCGTTATCCAGGTGGGTATCGAATCATCTCCAGGTGAAACACACCGACGATGACGAGGACTGTAAGGTAGGGACAATAGAAAATCAGCGACAGCCGGTGCCAAGGACGGGCAGTTCTCCGTCGGTTTCGTAACTCGTGAAAGTCTGCACACAAGGGACACTGACCTCACCCTACCTCATTTTCTTCCTCCTCCAACACCTTAGTCTCTCCACCTCCAACTCGATCGCCTTCAGCGACGAGAACGTGTCCCACGGTTCGCGACCGTGTGTAGAAAACTTAAGGGTTATATCCGTCGAGGTGAGGATCGCAGCTTTCCCCGAAGGTATCGCGAACCGAGGCCGCTCTCCCTCTCGTCTGCATCGACGAATATCGACCTCGAGGAAGTAGCAGCGGGTCCGAAAAGGTCAGTGAAAGGCCGGATCGGATTAACGTAGGAAGCGCTGTTTCGGGATTATTCGATCGATCGATCGAATTTATTCAACTACCGGGATCACTGGTGCCTCAAAATGGCAACGATTTGTTCGTTCGATTCGTTTGAGAAATCGAGCGATTTGAAGAGACGTTGTTAACAAGATTTTTCTTATTATTGATTTATGCATCACTTAGAAATGATAAAGACTGTTTCTGTATCGAAGAAAATGTAAACTAAAATCATCTTATTTATATGCTAATAACGCTTTAAAGTCTGTTGTGCGAATAGGAAAATATTGGTAATAAACACGGCAGTAAATCATTTATTTTATGATAGATAGTAAAAAGTGAAATCAGAACCTATCTTCTATTTCTCTCATAAAAGTCAGCGAAACCTATGTGTCATGTGAGATATCAAACATAACACTTTTTAATGGAAAGTATTAAAATTAGAACTTTAATAATGTCCCATTAAAGTGGATACTTTGTTACTGTTAACTTTTACTATTTTTCAAGCACTTTCACATGCTCTTTGTACTCTTTAAGAAGCGAAATTTTAAATCTAAGGATTGCACTGGTAATGTTTAAGGTGGTACATTTAAGACAGAGGCTAGACAACACTGTGAGCAGTTCGAGGGATCGATCTTTTCCTTTTGATGCAACCGTCGCCATGATCCAGTCCCTCATAGACTGCGACGAGTTCCAAGATATAGCCACGTTAAGGGTAAGTTTCAATGTTCTACATTCTCGAATCACATTATTCGAATGAAACTAATATTATTTTCAGACTGACGCGAATAGTATCGATTTGAAATCGTTTCGTAGTATTTTTACCATAGGATGAGGGTATTTCAATGAAATGATTTTTTCTCTTGTATTATAGAACTTGGACGAGCTGCTGGACCATAAATCAAACCTAAGCGACAAGCTGTGTCAGATAGGGGACAGTATAGTGTACAAGTTGGTGCAGTGGACCAAAAGGTTACCCTTTTACCTTGAGCTACCGGTCGAAGTTCACACGACGTTGCTCACCCACAAGTGGCACGAAATCCTGGTGCTGACCACCTCCGCCTATCAAGCGATACACGGTCAGCACAAGTTCTCCAATGTCGGTACCGACGTGATGGGAGCGGATTTTATGCAAGAAGTAATTGAATTTCTTCATTTCTTCGACAAATTCTAATTATAACATGAATGAATATAACGAATGAAACGAACAAACGAATTTCGTGTACAGGTATCGAACAACATGTATACGTTACAAACGTGCCTAACCAACATGATGGGCCGACCGATAACCATGGACCAATTACAACAAGACGTAGGGCTCATGGTGGAAAAGATCACGTACGTCACGTTAATGTTCAGGAGGGTGAGGCTACGGATGGAAGAGTATGTCTGTCTGAAAGTAATCACCATGCTCTCGCAAGGTAAGTGTCCTTAACTCATCGTACGAAAGAAATGAAAGAAACAGGAACGAACGACTTTCTGCGTTTGGTTGAGAAACTTAAAATATAAAGAAATGCATCCTTTTTGCTAATGCTGCAATTGGCGAAGCAAAATGTAAGTTTCACGCGTACGAACGCTAGTGTGTAGAAGAATGTTCGCAATTATTCGAACGATTCGATTGGAATATTCGTCGGTTTTATTATTCGATTCACTGAAAACTATCCCAATTAATCCATACAACGTTCGAGTGATCGCGGGCAATAAATTTAACGTAGTTTATCGAGTGTGTTTACGATTCCTTGCAATTGCCTATTCATCCCCGATAAAAAGAGACGAACGTTATATACGAAAGTGTAACCGAGGATCGCGGTAAAAGCATACAAGTTTCTAACATCTATTTACGATTCTTTCTCTTGTATCTGCCTTCTCTTAGCACGTGGAGGTACAATGGAATTAGAGCATCTGCAAGAACGGTACATGAGCTGTCTGCGAAGTTTTGTCGAGCACAGCGCGCCTCAACAACCGAATCGGTTTCACGATCTTCTCGTCAGGTTGCCTGAAGTAAGTTCATCAAAATAAAAGAAATGAAAAATAAAAACGAGGAACAATCGTCGTAGCCGCGCGACAACGTACTCGAAATTAACTTCGCGCGAAAAAAGCTAAGCCGAGTGATCCTTTAATTGATCTTCGTCCTTGTTTTTTTTTCCTGAATTCCAGGTACAATCGGCGGCAGCTCTTCTACTCGAGAGTAAAATGTTCTACGTTCCTTTCCTATTGAACTCAACAATTCAAAGATAGTAAATAAAAAATAAACTGACGATAAACGAAGCTGAATACCTATATACATACTATGCATATAAATATATACAAATATAAATATGAAGAGAAATCTATATATATATATATATATATATGTATGTATGAAAGATAGAATCGAACAACCTAAGCGAGAAGAGCAAACAAAGGATAGCCCGTTGAAACTGGGCCTGGTGAAGAAAGAAAAAAAAAAAGGGAAAAGCTTTGTTTGCGTATGTATAATAATTATATAAAAAGTATATATATATACATATAAATAATATAAATAATATAAATGTGTGTGTTCGTTGCGTTGTACAAACGATGAAGAAGGTCGAAAAAGGGAACGGGATACCCGTGATAAACGTGATAAAAACAATACAAGAGAGCGAAAGAGAAATGGGAAATTAATTGAAGAAAAATAAAAGAGGAATAAATTAAGGGGAGAGAGAGAGAAACGAGGAGATGAGACGGCGAGAGAAAAAGAAAACGAAGAGAATGCTTTAGATAAGATATAAAGAAATAAATGAAAGAATATAAAGAATTTTGAATGATAGAACGAACGAATGAGGGTGAAAATGTCGTGCGAGAGAAAGTGATACGAACGAATGTGAAAAAGAGAGAAAGCGCGCCACCTCGAGATGGAAAATCAATCGAGGAGGGAACTGAAACTTTTTTATCGAAACTAAAAGACTATAATAATATATTTCTGTACGCAGTACCACGCAACTACGTCATTGTGTGTTCACGTTGCATAATCCGATCGATAATAAGACTCTCGTTACGTACGCTCACTTGTAGGCCACCTACTACCACCTACTACTACTGTTACTACTACTACTGCTACTGTTACTACTATTCTCCATCGCTATCAGCTAAAATAGCAGACTACCAAAACGACCGAAACGATCCATCGACCGATGTTGATGATCCATCCCCCTGACTGTAATGATAATGCCGATGACGATGATGATGATCGACGACGAGATCCAAACAGCAACGACACAAATGCAAAGAACAATCCATCGTTACAACTTCGACTGCCGCCACTTTGCGTATCTTTACGTTCAAACATACAACCGCGATACGCTATATAGACTAACAACACCATCATCGACATAATCATCCCCTGAAGTAAACATAAGTGCGACATTATCAACGTGCACCCATTCCGTAATGAAACGAAGACGAGAGAAACGAAGATAATACCGAATGGAAATGAAATTTCTTAAAGAAACGAAAGAGAATACGATCGTCCTCGTCGTTATTGTCGTCCTCGTCGTCGTTCGCGGCTCCGAATCATGGTCCAAGCGCGCAACACAGAAGACTATATTATATTATATATATATATACATATATTCACTGTTTTTCTGTTCATTTACATTCGATCACCATCGACGTAATGTTTACGCATCATTCACCGGTCGAAAATGTTCTTGTTCTGATCGTCTTTCGAGCCAACTGATCCTCTTCCTCGATTCGCGAGATAAAACGTTATTCTAGGAGCTTACGGATAGACGATAAAAATAGAGAAACGTTCGAAAATTGCTTTTCAAACACTTTCGAAGAATAATCTTCGATTTTTTTTGCTAACGAAGAATGAGCTCGCCTTGCGATACGAAAACGTTCGTACTCGCTGATAATTTCGACTGACGCGAATTTTTTGAAGAATCTTTTATATTGTTCCAAGTGTTATTCGTAGCCTACTATCGCGATGCAATTTATTCTGCATAAACGATAGGACGAGGATCGGATCGTTCGAACGAGCGCGCTTCGTTTCTCGTTACCGGGTGTTCATCATTAGATTCTTTTCTTTTTCTTTTTTTTTTTTTTTTATGATTCCTCGCTGAGACGACTGCGATAATTTCATAGTATTATACATATATACATGTATGTGTGTATATATATTAAACGAAGAAAAAGGAATATGAGGAAAGATATAAACCGCGTGAAACGAACGGAAAACACGAACAGCAAGAGACTTGGTATTTCTCTCTTGCGAGGAAGCGTATACAATGTTCAATATTTTTCTTTCTTTTTTTTTCTTCTTCTTCTTTCCTTCTCTCTGTCGCGTCAATTCGAACGATCAGTGTTCCCGCGCTTCGATTAGCAATCGTAGATATACATATGTGTATGTGTGTCGTCGACACGTGTGATATTTGCTTTCTTCGCGACCCGGAAATACCAGGTGCTCGGGATTGGCTCAATTATTTAAGATAGCGAATACCGATTCGTTCTAGGAGGGAATCTTAACGAAAGACAAAATAACCCGGTGGTTCACGCCAGTCGAAACGTCGTTCGGTGTCTTGGCAGAGGCAAAGAAAGAAATATGAAAAAGAAAAAAAAATAATAATAATAACGCTCCCTGTATACGCATGTAATTAATCAGCGCCACGTTCTATCGCGACGTGATCGTTTCATCTTGCCTCCATAGAAATTATCGTAAACACGCGCTAAATCACCTGTACGCTGTACGATCACGAGTACGATGAAAATCGATCCCCTTTTCTTTTCACTACCAAAGATTATCGTCTTTTGGATAACTTTGATCGTGTTGCATTTATCTACTCATCTTAATAAACTTAATCGAAACTTTTTTTTTTTTCCTCTCTTTCAATCCATCTCGCGTTTGATCTACGAATTTTTCTTAAATATTCTGGATCGAGACTAGAGTTACCATTGCGTTACCAATCGAATTACTGCTCAAAACTTCGACTAATTATATCGTTTCGTATAGTTTTTCCATGATATCGAAGAGAATTTTCGGCGGACTCGTGGTCGGCGAGCTTACGTACGAAAGAATCAACACGAGAAACTGTACACGCAAAACACCTTGGGCCTACTAGCCTAAGGATACTTGTCCATACTATAAGACTTAACTAACGATGGGATACTTCAATACGGTAAACAATGTATATTATTTGCGGTTAAGGAACTGGGGGGAGGGGGGTAACGGTTCCTGTATTCCCCGGACATCATCGTACACTTGTCTCTGTGTTCAATTGGACGGTCGATGAGGTAGCACCCAACGAGAAACGAATTGAAAAAGTATAACGACCTCGCTGAGTTTAGTTTAAGAATAATATCCGCCAGATAGTGGACCGGGAATGGGATCTTTAGCTTCTTCCTTCGAGAATGTTAAGCGATCGGCGGACGATAAACAGTTTGCTTCGAAGTTACCGTTCTTATCGATAGTGCAATATATTTAGAGAGAAAGAAACGATTCCTTCTGTCTATCCCTATCTTTGTCGATGTCTCACGATACACGTTACCCTGATTCCTTTCAATTCCCAATCCTTCGATCCTCAACCAACCCCATCGATCTTTTTTATTCTGGTTAGGTCAATTAAACTTTATGTACTTCCCGCGAAGAAACCTTTTTCTTGTCGCGTTCTATTTATTGTTAGTCTGTACATAGACGAGCGGCGGTATCGGGTACGAAAGAACGAGCGAGGGGGGGTGGGGGGGGGGAAGGTCGATGAACACCGCGTGAAAATAGATAAAGAGCGCCAAGTTGGACTGTCTTTTAATATTACGTTATATATATACATATAAGTATATAAATATAAATATAAATATGTATATTGTATAAAATTGAAAATGTGCATCGATGTCTGGGAGTACAGCAGCTGCTTACGGGAGAGCTACGCGTTGGATCAGCAAGACTTAGGGCATTATACTACCGCGAGTATTATCATGCCCAACCTTTAATATTTAAGTGCGAGTGAGAGTCTATTGAGCAAAAAGTAAAAAAAAGAAACAACAAAAAAAACGAAAAAAAAAAAGAGAAGAGATGAAAGAAAGATGAAATTTAAAAGTATAAAAAAACATATGCCTCTCGTTTGTGGGTTTAACTTTGTACATATTGTACGAAAGGTTTAATAATAACTACGTTGAAAGTACTAGTCCTGTCTCTTTGTATAATTCCGTGTTATACCTGTTCTATATATATATATTATATATATATATATATATATATATTGTATATGGTGTCAAGCGGCCACACAGTGTTTCTAATCGCGTATATAAAGTTCGGTGATTTCTGAGCAAATTTATTGCTCACGCAGGATAATGTAGCTATCGTTCGAGACAACTATCGAACCGTCGTTTTGTAACGGAATAGCACGGACATTTTGTTTCGTTCGATCGTTTCGATCGTGATCGTCGAAGAACACTGAATCAATCGAAATAATTGTACCTATTTTACGAAAACCTTCATAATAATCGCTGATTTATGATTGTACGAGCAATATATGTAACAAGGTCGACAGGTTATATGTATTTTGTGTACGTTTAAACGTGACACCGGGAACAGTGAAGCGTCCACGTGACGCCGTGATCAGCTATCAATGATATATTATCGAATTAAGTTGTTGTCACATGTTTCACTCACCGTGATGTCTTCTTCGATGCTCTAGACCAGCCAGGAACACGAAAGAAGTGTAATTCAGTCATTAATTTCACTATTTAAACTACAAAAATCACTGAAATTACGAGCACGGACTGTCACTTTGAACGGATTGGCGAACACTGAAGTATGCTGCTTGTCACGTGATAGCCGAAGGCGCGCGCAATACAAACGTTAACCCAAAAACGATGGGCAGAAAGAAAGCACGAATGCCGGATTGGCAAGAGGAAATACTTTTTCAATGAGTGAGTCAAAGTTACCAATTTCTACCTACGTTTAGGAAGTACATTTTTATCGTCTCGTTTACCTTCGACTATTCCTTTTGTAACTGAGATTTGAGCGCCGTGTGAATCGCCGCTCTGCCGGGAACCGGATGCTGCGTTGCTACTAAACAAATTTTTTCAATCGATCTTTTGCGCGCGAATTACGAATTCCCGTCGATCGCTACGAATGCGCGGGAAATTATTTAATTCGATATTTTTCAAATTTTTGCACTTGATTCAATTGTTAATAATTGTTCACGATATCGAGTTTATAAACGTGTTTTTTAAAGAATCATTATTATTCTACCCTGGGAAGCGTTCAAACATGATTCTATTGCATTTTTTATTAGATTTTATAAATTGTTTTATCTTCGAAGAATCGTTAACGAAATTGTACTTATTGTTAGTCACTTTAAACACCTGCAATTTCATTTAAAATTTTTAATCGAAGCAAATGAGTTATAGAAACGTGTTTTATTTCTTTTGAATTGTTTAGAGACTGAACGAGAAATCTTCTCTTGTGCTTTTCTTTTATATTCGTCGATGCATGTCTCGAACCAAACAGTCTAGTCGGTGGAGAAGAGAATATATTCGTTTATTGTAAAGACTTACGTTTTAGTTTTAACTTATTTCTCGTCGTTAGTTAACGACTTCGTAAATATTCGTCTAGCTTGTTCTTTGCATTTTTTATTGCATTTCATTCTCCGTCTCGTATCGTGAGCTCTTGAAATCGTTGGATCCTTTTTCTTTTTCGTCATTTAACCCAGTGGTGAATGATATTAATAACGCGAATGCGCTTACGGATTCGTAGCTGAAGGGGAAAAAATCCTTTAACTTGTTTGCGTAAAGACGTGTACATATAGATGATGTTGAGAAACATAATAAATTCGTTGTTATTACAAAAATGAAAGATTGTAAGATATATAATGTTGTTCGTCCGACCAATAATCGGAAGCTATCGGTTCCGGGCAAAACAGGCTAGATTTCACAGGTGGCGCGTAAACCCCCTGTATTTTTATGAATAAATAAGATATTTTAAAAAAAAAAAAAAAGTAAATCTGAAGTCTGTTTGGAGATGCCTTTCATAGGGATTATAAATGTAGATAATATATTATACATAATGAACATAAATACACTATATTATTATATATAAATAGTAAGGAATAAATAGAATGATATATATATGTATATATATCATAATAGAATGATATATATATATGCGATGAAAATAATATTATTACAAGTAAATAAACTAATTAAAGATGAACAGATTTGATGATATCTTTATTGTTCCACACCCACACCTACATATGATAACTTTTCCTTTTCAACACCTCACGATATTATATAGTTATATATGTGTGTGTATATAGTATATGTATGTATATATTTGTACTTTATTTATCACAATAATAACGGGAGTATTATTGATAATGTCAGTTGCAATTTTTCCGCATTTTTATTACAGACGTTTCATTACATTAACATAACAAAGTCTATACTTTCAAGGTACATGATCGTTAAACTGTTGTCTACCTGTGAGATCTTTAAGAATTATGCGCAGTGTTCAAGCTCCCGCAGAGAAGAACATATATTTTATGCTAACTTATTAGTCTCATTATTTTTAATGTCATTGTCTTTATTAACGTGGAGCTTATCCGATGTACAATCGTCGCAAGCGCTTGGACACTTCGATAAGATTAAAGCGATCACAGACAGAGGCATTAAAAGGTGAATACTGCGAATACCTAAGTAGACACAGAGGCTAATACTTTTTACGATTTCTAGGATGTCCGTACTACATAGGCATTTTCATGCATCACCTCCGTTTCACGATATATTAATTAGAGGCTGCAAAAACGACAGGTCGAGTTTGTAACGTAAACTCCGTGTCTTAAAATTGTATAATAATCTATCTAATACAATATTGACAATGTAAGTATTAAAGCAGCGGTTAATGTAAAATCGTGTAATTGCATATCGTAACAATCTGAATAGATATATATATATATATATATATGTATATATATAAATATTTTTAGTCGATATCATTGTAAAATGTAAAAAGTATCTCGTATGTAAAGCAATCGAAATGGACGCCGAAATATCTTACGAGAGATAATAATAATAAAAAAGTCGAATTATCATAAGGGGATTGTTAATAATACTTCCTGGAATATAAAAAAGGTGAAAGAGAAAATTCCTTATACACGCCCTTTTGTTAAGCTCTCGGTTATTTATTATGATCCGTCCTAGTTCGTCTCTATGATTATCTGTCATTAGAAAGTGTTTACTTCTAGTAGACCGTCATGTTATAGTTCTGAAGGCACTGTTCAAAAGTTGATTATACTTCTTGAAATAACAAGTCTTCAAAACATCCTCAAACGACTCGACATGGAAAATCGTTACAAACGTCGACTCAATTTTCACATGCCTCACTTGAACTATATCACAAAATTCAAAATAGAGTAGTTTCAACTTGACATCCAGTGCCAATGCCAATGCCATATATGTCGAGTCTGTGATCGGTTAGGAATTATCATGAGCTAGCAAATCGATGGTCAGAATTCAGGCTTATGATACACAATGGCCGGTGCGTTCTATTAATTATGTATCAATATCATCATACCATTATATTACACAAACGCTTATTAATTTAGAGGCACATTGCTAAGGGTCTCGGTTCTTAAAAATTGCTCCCTACATTAATGAACTTATGACAATCTAGCTATTATAATTATTCAGTACGACAGCGATTTGGCATATAATATGGAAACTGTACAAAGCTTCCGAGAATAACGATAGAGTACTCAAACTATTGCTCTGTATACACAGAAGTGAAACATGGCTGGAAAGGCCGATACTAGGAAAGAATTTCAATGTACATATTTTTTTTTTTTGTCTTTTTTCTCTTTTTTCTTTTTACTTTAAACATTTTTGCAAACGGTATGTTGAGCTTGTAATAAAGAAGAAAGAAAGAATGGAATATAAAGTTGTCATGTGCATAGAAATATTAACAAAAATCCTATCATATAATACAATTTTTCTTCTACTGAATTTCCTTACCTAGGCAGGAAAACTTTGGCTACTGCTACATACTATTTGTACCTCGGCGAAACCGCCGAATTTATGCTGCTAAGAACACTGATTGCGTATCTAGTAGTATTAAAAGAATTGCACGCAGCACACACAGTATCTAAACCAGAAACAGATCAATTACATACTCAGGAAGACCTTAACAGTAGTATATATGCTCACGCTTTAATAAACCTGAATTCTACGCACAACGATCATAATATCAGTTAAGCATTCACTATACTCAGAGACTTTTCCACGGCGGAATGTTTAAATGTTTTTTTTTTTTAATTTTTTTTTTCATTTATTCATTCATATAGTACTGAACCATTTGTTGTTCGCGTTCACAACTTACTTAAAAGCGTGTAGCCTTTAAAACAATACGTTCACAATACTGCTCTGAGATGCGAATGCTCAGAATGTACATACACAGTAGACAGCAAAAGCGTCTAGACCACAGAAGTTCACATTTCAATTCGAAAAATTCTCCGAACTAAAGAAGTCAGGCTGATGCAATGGCAGACGCACTATGTATAAAAGTTCATTCTTTAACATACAAAAATGGGTAAATCTTCTTAAAAAACGTGTAAGAATATTCCCTGAATAGATAATCACATGATAATTGTTTTTTCTTTTTTGTTCGTTTAAATGACACATTTTTTTATCGTAAAAACATAAAAAGAAGTAACTTTTTAAAAACCGAAATTCTAAATAATGTACCACCTTTCGATACGTTTCCGAAAATTTGATGCTCCGTCAGAGTACCAGCCTGTGTCTATCAATATGAAGAAACAGTCATGTAATTCCGTAAAGTCTAGACGCAGATACCACCCTTCTGCATCCAAACAAATGGAGCACTAAGTTAGATCACAAAAAGTACGGCGTAGTTGTTAAAGGCGGAATTACTCTTTCAGAATCAGGCACTGCCTGGAATAGCACTGGGCATCTTTGATCGACAGTTGTGAACTGTAAAATACTAGCTACATTACCACAACGATAACAATAATTTGGAGCTGACCATACTGTTACAAGTTTGTCATTAAACATGTACCTATAACCTGGAAATAAAATAAAAGAAAAATATAAATAACAGACACTTTATACTTTACCAATAACCCCTTGCGGCCGGGAGCTGTTCAAATTTAATCGCGACTGAACAAACGGCTAAACCTCATGTTATGAATATCTCGGCTTTTAGTCGCAAAGGGTTAATATAGTACTAAATAATTAAAAATTTTTTAAGTATACCTTCGTGAACCAATTGATGAGCTCTACATATAAGTTTAAGATCATTGATCTCCATGAAATTATACGTTATTTTACTTCCGAATAACCAACCCGCTCCGCGTGGACTAACGGTCCATGTTTCGACATCTTCTGGATCAGACCAAACCAAATCACAGAAAGCACCTGAAACAAAAATTGAAGGTTCATTAGTATAAGTATTGTACATAGTATCACAATATAATAATATAAATACCTTTATGTGGAATTTCTTGGTTTCTTTCAATCGTCCTAATTTGATCTAATGTCCTAATGGCTGGAGACAATCCACCATGCACACATAGTACTTGTTCATCGATTAACTAAATAAAAATACTTTTGTTAAATATATAAGCTTGTATATACATGTAATTTGGTTAATATTTAATGATACTAACGGCAGCAACGGTGAGCAAGTCAAATACCCTACAGCAGTATTTCCATGCATTAGCATTGCCATATTTATTTTGACATTCATCTGCAATAAAGGAAAAAATCTGAATTTAATTTCATTGTTATACATGTAGAGATAATAAATCAATGTTTAATTTATAATACACACTAACCATAAAAACCATAAACATGTGTAATTTGTCTGGATTCATGATTTCCTCGAAGCAATGTTATTCTATCAGACCACTTAGCTTTAAGTGTAAGTAACCGAGTAAACGTTTCTAAACTGTAATACCCTCTATCTACAAAATCTCCCATGAATATATAATTTGTATCAGGCACAGGACCACCATTACGAAATAATTCCTCTAGATCGTAAAACTGAAAAAAGAAATGATTACAACAATTAGCGGGCTAGAATCAAAGCAGCTCGAACTTTTACTTTCGAAATAATTATCGTTATCAGTAGAGATATCGATGTTGTGTTGAGGTTAGAACATTGGTATGAAATTTACCTGGCCATGAATATCTCCACATACGGTTACTGGAGTGGATACTGGTTGAATATTAGACTCTTCCAATAATAAATCACATACCATGTCACAAAGTTTCTAAACAAAAGAAATACAATGAATAGGAGTAATCTAATAGCGTATGTTTAATATCTTGTCAAATATGTCGACGGAATATAATATAATTAAAATAATAAAAAATAATATGTCATATATATTATTTACCTTAAGATCATGTTCAGGAAGATATTTGCACTCTTTTGCAATCTCTATCCATTTATCGATGTCTGACATTTTGGACTCGTATCGTAAGAAAATACCGATCGCGCCCTCACTCACTACATATAGGTGCGCTGAATTTATAGTTGATTTGTATTTTTAAAGAATACACTGAACATTTAATCTAAATCAATCCTTCGACTTTTATTCATTTTAGACTCAAGATTTTAAACGTTTTATTTAACAAAGCATTCCTCTTTCTCATCGTGTTAGACTCAAACACAGTTAAGCTACTGTAAGGTAACATTAAACAAGACCAACTTTCATTCTCTTTAAACCTTTTATCCCATTGGTTCAGAGTTTTCACTTTACACAGTGAAAACAAACATAAAAATAAAATATTTTTCACAATACAATAGCAAGTACTTGTTATTATCTTTCCATGAATAGTTCACGACACCGATAAATGTATCATGTTAGATTACGACATGTCGTTTAACATAAGATGCTAGTCTTAAAATAACAAAACCACTTGACCAATAATATTATTTAAATCCTAGTATCTTTTATTTTATTCCTATACTTAAAAAAAAACGAAAAAACTCAAAATTTTGTCAGTTTTTTAAATTTGAAACTTTTTAGTTAAATTTTTCGAAATGATATATTTTACTATCAATGAATCGGTTATCGAAGATCGGATTAACGATAAGTTATGTTTAGTGTGAAGTAATAACGTATTTGTACAGATTTATAAGAATGCGAGTTCCAATTTTTATTTAAATATATTGTCTTATAGTTTAAAGTAACAATCGCTATAATAACTACTAATTGAAGGCTAATCATTTATCTATACCGCAGTTCACCAGAGTCCATAACTGCGAAAAGACCAGTTTTCGTTCTTCGCGCTTCTCTAGTGCGCATCTTCGCCCTGATTGGCGATACTTCTAAACGAAGTGGAAAGCGATTAGCAGAGAGCTCGCTGCGTTCCCCCACCATCTTCCAACCTGCGCGTCGCAGTTATGGACTCTGGTGAACTGCGGTATAGACATTCTTTGCTTTAGTCAAAAGATGCAATGCACAATGTGTAGTTTATTACAATAAGATTATCAAAACTCAGTTAGTCATATGAGATGAATGAAACTGTCATTTTTACGCCTACAATAACCAGAAAGTACATATTCTCATTGGTCATCTACATTCGTAACGATTACAAAAGTTCCGCGCCAATAAAAATATTTGCCGCGTACTATTCAAAAGCAATAGGTCAAGAAAATGATTATTTGTCGTGAACAGGATCAAGAGACGACAAAAGGTGTAGTTCCAGCTTCCTTTAATATCAGATCATCGTGGGACGTGGAAAAAGGTCAGCAGCAGGAGGACGATATGGATTTTATCTCACGATGAAAAGTGGGTCAGAACGGAGGTGCCTGTGCGCACGCTTCGATTATCGATTGAAACACGTTACGTGCCTTGAGTTCGTACCACTGGATCTCATTTACGTGAACACAGTAGCTGTGGAGGTTCGTAGTGTAACTTTCTTGCAGTAGGCCAGTGGCTGACATCTTCCCGTTTGCGGTCTCGTGCACGAGCATGGTTATTAGAAAAATGCGGTGAAATTTCATGCAAAACGACGTGCCTTTGTGAAATCGGCCATTTTGGTAGTGCGTGTTTCACGAAAACGGATAGGATCACTTCTGGCAGCTACCCTCAACGGTTGTGTGTGGAAGTGGTGGCAGCTCGGTGTCGCCCACAGGACACAGCCGTAAAGTTGAAAACGATCGTGTTCCTGTGCCATTGAAGCAAACAGCCTCGACAAAATGGCAGGAAACACGGGTATGGAACAATTGATTCCGATTGTGAACAAGCTGCAAGATGCATTCACACAACTTGGGGTGCACATGCAACTTGATCTACCACAGATCGCAGTGGTAGGTGGTCAGAGTGCAGGAAAAAGTTCTGTTCTTGAGAACTTTGTCGGGAAGTAAGTATATCATCTGCTAATGCTTCATTGTCTTTCCTTATTATAACTCTTTCATTGACATATATTTTGAAAATCATTAAACGACGATTATACGAATATTCAAATGTTTGATTAAAGGCGTGGCGAACTACGCCACGTTATAATTTTGACGTTCATCCTTGGTTATTTTGATTGAACTATTCCTCTTTTCTATACCTCTACAGGTTAACTATTTTAATCTATCGATCATGACATCAAAATCTACTATATCTTTGTGATCTGAGACCGCCTACACGACGACCTGTCAAACGGTTATTCTTTCTCGCTGCTATAACAGTTAACCTTCTACTAAATTGCCTCAAGTGTACATATACAACGACGAGAATTATTAATTTAATTGTTCCTGATGTAGACCATTTAATATTACATTCTACTAATACAGCCCTTTTCAATTTACCATACATTATTGGAAATCCTCAAATCTTGTATTAATGTCATAATAAATCAGTTAACAGTACATATTGTTTATAACTTTATTTTAAATGTAATAGTTTTTATAAGGGAAAAAGTATCGGTAGCTGTTGAATAAAATATAACTCAAACGTAGAACATATTATTTTATGGCAATTATATTTAAGAGAAAGCATATTCTTGTTATATTCATCAACAGGTTCTATTATCTATTAAGTAAATAAATAAAATTGTACTCATGTTATTTATTCTATTTCAGTGTTACATATTTTAATATTATTATAATAACCACATGTATAATAATGCATTTTTCATTTTCAGAGATTTCTTACCTAGAGGATCAGGCATTGTAACCAGAAGACCACTTATCTTACAACTGATTAATAGTACAACTGGTGAGTCATAATAGATAAATACATTACAACACATTTCATATGATGAATATAAAAATTTATTGTATGAAATAATATTTTGTTACAATTGGTTTCAGTATAAAATTTTGTATGATTTTATATTGTAGTTTGAACTTAGCTTAGCATCTCCTTAATTGTTCTGTATCAACTTATCACATTTCCTGTGGCAATGAACTTTTGATAAGCACAAAATTGAATGTATTATCACTTTTATTATGAAGCTAAATAATTAAAATTAATTGAATGATATTAACAGAAATACATACTTTAAAGAATTCTATAAAATTTCATGAGTAATTAAATCAAATATCTTTCTATTATAGAATTTGCTGAGTTTCTGCACTGTAAAGGTAAAAAGTTTGTGGACTTTGATGAAGTACGGAAGGAAATTGAAGCAGAAACAGACAGGATTACAGGCAGTAATAAGGGTATTTCTAACATACCTATAAATTTAAGAGTTTATTCACCCAATGGTAAATATATTTCTACATTACATCCTGTACTAATGTGTATTGTCATTTCAATTAACATGTTTGTTGTTGGTAGTATTAAATTTAACACTGATCGACTTACCTGGCCTCACAAAAGTACCAATTGGAGATCAACCAGTAGACATAGAAGCTCAAATTAAAGCCATGATTTTTCAATTCATCAAAAGAGAAAATTGCCTTATATTGGCAGTAACACCTGCAAATACTGATTTGGCAAATAGTGATGCTCTTAAACTTGCCAAAGAAGTAGATCCTCAAGGTATATACATGTTTGTTTTGCGAATAGAAATAATATATTTCGATACATTTTCCACTGTAAATTGTTTGGTTAGGTGTACGTACAATTGGTGTTATTACAAAACTGGATCTTATGGACGATGGTACAGATGCAAGAGATATTCTGGAAAACAAACTATTGCCTCTAAGGCGAGGTTATATAGGTGTTGTTAATAGAAGTCAAAAAGATATAGAAGGTCGGAAAGATATTAAAAATGCTTTAGCGGCTGAAAGGACGTTTTTCCTAAGGTATACGTCAACAGTGGAGAATAATTGTACAAATTAATAATTCACAAAATACATAAAATATTTCTTTTTTTCTACTAGCCATCCATCTTATCGGCACCTAGCAGATAGATTAGGAACACCGTATTTGCAACGTGTTTTAAACCAGCAATTAACAAATCATATCAGGGACACTCTACCAGCATTAAGAGATAGATTACAAAAACAGTTACTTGCTTTGGAAAAAGATGTAGAACAGTACAAACATTTCAGACCTGATGATCCTGCCATAAAAACAAAAGCTATGTTACAGTAAGTACAGTCTTTGTATAATTTCACCTTCATAATTGATAATACGCTGTTTAGTAAAACAATATTAGTGAACAAAAAAGGTTTAGATATAAATAGATCATGTAAAATCTATTACAAACTAAACTTACCTTTTGCAGTTTTCTCTTAAAATACATTATGGGTGGAGGGTCTTGATATTTTAGAGCATTTTATTCTTATTTTTCAGATCAATTCAAATGTTTATGTAGGTATCATATTCTGTTCATACGCGTGTGTATACCATTTGCATGGAAATTTTAATGCATCATACATTTTTATTTAACTCAAATCAGAGTGGAAACTAACCCATTAACATGAAAAATTTTAATGTACTAATGAGACATTATATTTATATAGCTTTCTAATCCAAAATATCATGACTCTCTACCCATATAACCAGTATTAAAGTTTAGTGCTTGTCTATGCATTGATTGAAAGAAAAACATTTTTAAGGATGATCCAACAGCTTCAGTCAGATTTTGAAAGGACTATAGAAGGTTCAGGATCTGCACAAATTAATACAATGGAGCTTAGTGGAGGTGCTAAGATAAATAGACTATTCCATGAACGTTTTCCGTTTGAAATAGTTAAAATGGAATTTGATGAAAAAGAATTGAGAAGGGAAATTGCTTTTGCCATTAGGAATATTCATGGTAAATAATACGTTAATTTTCACTGTTGCAATTTTATTACGTACAGTACCGAGCATGGTCCCGGGCATCCGCCTCCTCCCCACCGTAAGCTTCCACGGGATCCTGCTCGTCACCGTAGGTGGCGAAAAATAAATTTTCATCCCGGTGAAAATGACGATATAGGGGAGAAGACCCCGTATTTATAATTATTAAGTATCAAATTAATAATTAAAATTATGAGAATTCCTGCTTCCCCTGTATCGCCATTGCTCCTAGGAAAGTCTACTTTGTTCGATACGGTACATACAGTATTCTTCCAAGAAGTATCCGGAAAAATCCTTCGGAAAATATTGTGTTGTGATTTCTAATTGGTTTAGAACTGTTCGATCTCGGAACTCGACTCGAGCTTATCTATTGCTCACAATTGATTATCGATGATCAAACAAATGAATCAGCGAAATAAAAACACTTGAATTTCAATGTCTGTTGTTCGAACGGTGTACAATTATTTTAATCGAATTTTTGAGATTGCTGTAGTAAAAGTAATACTACTGTCCGTCCAATGAGACGAGTCGGTATGGATGTCATAGAATCAATACCTGAATCACCTACTATTGGAGAGAATGCTGTATATAATATTAAATGAATATAAGATTGTGTCTTTTATTATGTCACGATATTTAATTTCTATTATTTTGCCTTGTGATTCCTATGATTATTTGGGAATTCGCAGGCTGAATAAGCTCACCGTAATGACGGGTTCATTTTGATGCAACAAAATCAAGTCAGAATATATTATCCGTCGCGGCGGTGATCCGAGCCAGTGACATAATGAAAGGCAACAAAGCTGCACTTTGTTGATTTAAAAATAAAGTACTAACAATAGCATAATGTCATAGGTATCAGGGTAGGTTTGTTTACTCCTGATATGGCCTTTGAGGCAATAGTTAAGAAGCAAATCAATAGACTCAAGGAACCTAGTCTAAAATGTGTGGACCTAGTTGTACAGGAGCTCAGTAACGTTGTACGCATTTGCACCGATAGAGTAAGTGAATTTTTCAATTCTACTTGTAAAACTTCAAGTATTACATGTTTGTTAACGTAACATCTACATTGTGTTACAGATGTCACGTTATCCTAGATTGAGGGAAGAAACGGAACGTATTATTACTACTCATGTTAGACAACGTGAACAAATGTGTAAAGAGCAGCTGGTACTTCTGGTGGACTGTGAACTTGCCTACATGAACACGAATCATGAAGATTTTATCGGTTTTGCCAAGTAAGTTGCTTGCATTTTATTACGTGTTACTGTAGCAATTCAATAAAATCAACAACATAAATAATACGATAGAAAATTTTGATTTTTAATCACCGCACATCTAGCGCTCTATGTTGTTCTTACATTCATAACTGCAGCTATAGATTTTAGCATACTTACATGTATAAGTTTTACTATTTTACGTTTAAAAAATACATTATAAATCTTAAAAATGTTTAAAGAAAGTATTATTTTGTTACTCATTGAACGAACAAGATACAAATATCATCTTGTTAATTGCTATTATTTTAGTGACTGAAAACTCGACAATACTCAGAAATTTCTTACCGAGATTTAAAAAAAAAAAAACATTTTCATACTTGCAGTAATGAATTTCTATATTGCATGACTAATGTAAATTCATCACATAGCATAGTCCACATAAATGATAATGTACTTCAATACATAGCAAACAGGATATTATTTTAAATTTGTTTCGTTATTTTTATCATTATTGAAAGCTAGAATTTAAGTTACATATAGCAGAAAAAAATCATGATAATAAATAAATTCACAGGGTAGATTCATAATTAGTTATATTAGTTTGCTTGCAACATTTTTGTACGCAAATTACGAATTATAATTTTGCATATTTAACCCTTCGACAGTCCAATAAAATTACAAATTGCTACAAATGAATTGTTCCTCCTAATTAAATAGTAGGCAGAAGAAAATAAAGACATGAGCGACTAAAAATAAAGATAATATTATTACTTATTACATGTAATAATAAATGTAGATATTTATAATAGATTCAATAGCCTGGTGCGTCACCATGCACGAGTTTTACTCCGAATAAACTGTCGGAGGGTTAATTATATTCACATAATCCTTGGCAGGTTTATAAGGTATATCTCATAATCAGTGCATGTCTTGCTAAAATCAGTTCACATTGCAAGCTTTATACTAGTACGTACTATTAGCTCATTTTGTTTTTCAAAGCAGAGGCACACATTGTCGGTATCGTTAATAAATAGTAGAACTTATGCTATTCTTTCTATTTGATGTACGTGTGTATGACACTTCGTGTCATATGTATTGTCATATTAAATTGTATCCCACTTACATTTCTCCTATTCGAAATTTGCATATTTCTAACATTTTAATACTTTACTGTTATGTAACTAACATAATTTTTGTTCATTTCTATATTTTACTTATTCAACACTTGAAATATTTTGAAAACTCAAATTGTTAATAGATGATGATAATGAATAATTTGAAAATAGAGTACTATATATATACTGCTACTCAGTTTAATTTTTAGTCCAAAATTAGTTATTATTTGGTTTCTTGAAACATGTACGAATAGTAGACAAATATTTATGTAATACTATTTTCTTTTATATGATGATTAAGAATAATTGAATAATAATACTGTAGCTTCTTTAACAAAATCTTTTATGTCATTAAAGGCAAGGCATACCTCTTCATAAAAAGTGTTGCAAAAATTGTTAATAATCATTTAAAAGTAATATTTGTAGTGCTTTCATTATATCTGTATATTTTAAACTTATACTAATAAGCTTTGTGTAATTGAGGCTTAAAAATTGTATGTCTTTCCTTAAATTACATAGCATTGTACACATTTCCTGACATTTGTTTCCATTCATCAAAACTTTATACTTCACAATTAAAGAAATTATTTAATTATATCGGCAGCGCGGCAGCCAGTAGCCATAATGCAAGGTAAGAATTATAAAGTACATTGGAACAAAGATTTACACTACATTTTTCTTCCTTTTCCATTTTCACGCTCTTAATCTTTTATGCTTATTTTTAGTTAATTTTCCCTAGCTTCCGATTTTTATCATTTTCTTAACAAAGAGTATGATCCATGAAAAGCAATATCCCACTTGTGTCCTTTATAATAATAAAAAATGGAAAATGACATATTTTTCTAGTGTATTAGGTTTTCCTTATTCTTCTTTTAATTAAAACAGATTTTTTTTTTTAATTATTTAAAATTATCAATAATTATTAATATATTTTTAACAGTTTACCAATAACTGTTCATTACAATTTCAATTAATGTAATAAAAATAAAGTTGTACTCTATGAAAATGAAAAAATGAAATAAAATTTTATTAATTGCGTTAGATACTCTTATGCATATACTATTTATTTCTATTTATTCGTTTATTTTTTTTACTTTCTATATAATTTTACATACTAGAAAATACACTTAAAATTAATTAAAAATTTAATAATTTTAATTTTAGTCTCTTGTACATGTTCGCACAATTCAAATGTACCATTCGAATGAATCATTCACTAAAAGTCATGCATAGATGCTCCGAATCGTATATTTCATACAGCAGCATCAAATCTTGATTTCATCACTTTTCACATTGTTTCACAATGAATGTAATATATATGTGCTTCTGCAATTCTTTATGCATTGTCATATATAAAATTACTAAAGTGTTGATTAAGTAGTAATAACATTCTGTGTATTTACATGTTACAATGTTTGAATGTACATTCAAAAATTATATAATTGTAATATTTCAAACTGTATGAAAGAGTATATGCATGGAGTTGTTGTGGCTGTATGTTATATAGTTTTCTCTATGTAAGCTAAAAACAACTTGAGAGGTGAAATTAACATTTTTTTTATTTATTTAGTAAATTTTTATTCTATTCACAATTGTAAAATTATTAATCAATGATATACAGCCAAAGTAATGATCCTTCCTATGTTATTCTTTTATCACATCTCATTTTTCAACATTTTAATGCCATAAAAGCACATATTTTAGAAAGTTTAATTATTCGGTATGATTCAATAATTCATTTATATTATAAAATTAAATTTGAACTTGTGTGAACGTTTGTGTAAGTTAAAAGAAAAAAAAATATTGCTAGGATTTTACCCTGCTAGATTTTTTTTTTACAAAATATACAAGATAAACTAACAAATTTTTTTGTGCAAGTTGTTATAATACACTTTGTACATGGGTATTCAAACACTTCTTTTCTATTTAACATTTCATTTTACATTGTATCTTATGTTGCAGTGCACAACAGTCCTCGGAAAATGCAGTGAAATCTGGTCGTCATACATTAGGCAATCAAGTAATACGCAAAGGTTACATGTGCATCCACAATCTTGGTATAATGAAAGGTGGTTCTAAAGATTATTGGTTTGTCCTAACATCGGAGAGCATTTCATGGTTCAAGGATGAAGAAGTAAATATATTTTTTAATTACAACATGTTTAGTAATATGTAAGTTTGTATGTAAGATATAAGCTATTTGTTATGTCTTTTTGTTTAGGAACGCGAGAAGAAGTACATGTTACCTTTAGATGGATTAAAATTACGAGATTTGGAACAAGGTTTCATGTCCCGACGTCACTTGTTCGCTTTGTTTAATCCTGAAGGCAGAAACGTTTACAAGGATTCCAAACAGCTTGAGTTGAGCTGTGAAACACAGGATGATGTTGATTCTTGGAAAGCTTCTTTCCTCCGAGCTGGTGTATATCCTGAGAAGTCAACGGAACAAGCAAATGGCGAAGGGGAGGTAATTTCTTTTTTATATTTAAAGAATTTGATAAAAATATATATGTATCTATCTGTTGTATCATTTTTATTTATGAATTTATATTTATTAAATCATGGGAGGATTCATTTGATTTTATTATTATTATTAGAAATAAATACATTGTATTATGTTTACTAGCGAAAGATTATTTTCATTTATTTTAGGATAAGCAGCGGGTGAGTTAGTACGGTATAATTAGATTATTTTGCTTGACATTAAATTCTTAATTGCGTGGTGGTGTGATAACGATATTGCTCATAATATTCATGACCAGAAACTAATTTTGACAGAGTCTTGAAGTATATTTTAGTTTTACATTAAATGTAATAATTAAAGAAAATACAAAATTTTAATCAACTCGTATATTTTGTAAAAGCGCTTCTATTTAAATATTCTTCTTAATGCAAGTATGAATTAGCTACGTTCTTCAGAAATTAATTAGCTTTTGTATTTAAAATTATGATTGCATTTTTTTGCCTCTAATCAACTAAAGGAAGGATATGAGGTTGGTACAATAGTAAAAGTTTCGTAGAATGACATACGGACACACAACACGTACACGAATGTAAAACACCTCCACCCAGCTCTGCTTTTTTGACAATGAATATATTTCGCTGTTGAAATATGTATGTATTGTTTATAAAAATACTTTGTTTTCAACGTTCTTGGCAGTATTTGCGTTGGGACATGAAACCCATAACACTTTAATTATTGCTGCTATACTTTTTTAAAAATTTTATATAACTATTTTGAACACTACTTTTAACTTGTATCATTGTGATTATCGGTGCATCAAATTTATTGCTCACATTTTATAGGGTGGATCGGAAGCTCAGTCATCGATGGATCCTCAGTTGGAGCGTCAAGTGGAGACTATCAGAAACCTTGTTGATTCGTACATGAAGATTGTCACCAAAACTACTCGCGATCTGGTTCCAAAGACAATTATGCATTTGATCATCAATAATGCAAAGGATTTCATCAATGGAGAGCTATTGGCTCATCTGTACGCAAGCGGTGATCAGGTAAAAATTCATCCAAACTTAGAGCATTATAGCACTATATATTTCTCATCTAATGAATTAACGATGCCCTCAGAATCTCCTTGAGTTCGCTAAATTTCATAAACATTATTTGAAGAATTTCATTAATCGGATAACTGTAAGTTCTTCCCTTATAGACTTCGATGATGGAAGAATCGCCAGAAGAGGCACAAAAACGGGAAGAAATGTTACGCATGTATCACGCATGCAAGGAAGCACTTCGTATCATCGGGGATGTTTCAATGGCGACGGTTACTACTCCGGTACCACCGCCAGTGAAAAACGATTGGTTGGCGTCTGGCGAGAATCCAAGGTAACAATTATGATATTATTTTCATTGTCGCTTGTGCATTCAACTAATTTGGTATCTTTCAATCTTGTACTGCCTGCTTTTGCCCCATACACTTGAACACCGTTGAAACAGTCTTGGGTAAGAGCTATTACGTTTCTATTAATTATCGTTTTTTCCTCTTTTCTTTTTATGTCTGTATTTGGAGGCATTAAAACCAGACTGTTATACCCCTATTATTTGTATATGTATAATTTTATCTGTATGCTTTATATTTTTGTTTCATTTCCAAACTTATTTCAAGTTTTATAATACCTTTTACATTTTCATTGAAATAAGTTCTTTCTCTATATGTTTTTAATACATTATACTCGAGCCCAATTCTTCCAACTATTAGAATATAAATCATAAGTAGGACATCTTATGTTAATATTGAATGCAGAGAGCAGTAATGAAATCCATTGCTAAAACTACTTTTATAATTTAGTATGTTTGTACAGTCCCGGTTAAATTTAATATCTATTTCATCTTCCATCTAAATTGCATACCTAAACTGTACACTTAGGAAACTTGATGATCGTTATTTATCTGACAATTAATTTATTACAGGTTATCACCACCATCACCTGGTGGGCCAAGACGTGGAGTGACACAGCCACCACCTCTTTCTAGTTCTCGTGCTCCACCACCGGTGCCAACAGGAGGCCGTCCAGCACCGGCTATTCCTAACAGACCCGGACCTGGTGGACCACCACCGGCCCGCTCTACACCTGGCCTACCTCCTCCTATGGTACCATCGTAAGTACTCATTAATTCACCTTAATAATTAATTTACCAAAAATATATATAACTTGTGAAGTAGTACAGAGAATTTTGGAATAATTGATAATTGAATTAAAACGCTTTGTACTAGCAAGTACTTTATCAATCATTGACTTTTTCACGTGACGAATTTTGCACAACAACGTTCTGTCGATTTTTTGTGTTAAGGTAGTCCTTTGTCTGAAGAACGTGGTGAAGGTCCTCTTTTTTTATTTTTTTTTTTTTTTTTTTTATATTAATTCTTCATTAAATATTCTTCACTAAAATATTGTTGAAAACAGAAACTTGCAGTTGCTTGTCTCTGTTAGCTTTGTGTGATTGGGGCTTTGGTGCTAACATCACTTTCTATTGCAGGCGCCGACAATAAGTCTTCGCACTAACTCGCCTAATCGCTACTAATCATTATATATATTTATATATATATCGATTACATCTAGTCAGTGTACATTTTACACGAGATACAATTTCCTAATGCTACATGTTTTGTCTGCAAACATTACAGATTACGGAATCACTGTTTAATTAGAGGTGTGCGATTTGTAGAAGAACGAGCGAAACCACGATATTTACATCAGTTAACAATTAAAGAAGAGCTTCCAAGAATTTCGACGAATCATTTGTCTCGTACCGGTAATCTGCATTTGTTTTCAAGTGGTCCAATTATTTCGTAAGAATGACCAACTAATCATTTCTTCCTTTTCTTTTAACCAACACCCAAAATATATTACACTCGTTTTCAAAGTCATTCTAAAATAAAATCCAACCCGCACACCTCTAATTGACACTCTTAAGTGTTTACGATACATTTAATCGGTATTAGTAAAAGAGAGAAAATAAAAGTACTTAGAATTAAATCACGTACCGTTCGTGACGAATGAAACCTTAGGTAGTGCGACGTTTGTTTCATTGTAAATTAGTTCGATGGAATTGTACATGATGCCTGTATATACAACTAAAAAAACGTTGTAAAATAAATGGTCTTGGGTTTATCACCAGGCTGACAAGTATTCATTCGCTTACTAACAGCATGACATTTTTAATTACAAGAACGCCGCATTTCTTTGTGATCGCATTTTCCATGCGTTTAGATGAGTTCGTTTCGTCGCAGAGACAAAGAAACTGTATTTGAGAATGCAACACACGACGTGTTACACACCCGACAGCTTTCAAGTCTCTTTAATATCATCATCGCTTTCTTGCTATTGTCCGTTCGTTCGATCGAACGTCCGCATAGAAGATCAATATCTTAGTCAATTATCAATTAGGAACAGACGTGTCGGTGCCTGCATTGAACAGCATTTAATTAGCATTAGACAAAACATCGCGCTCTTTTTTCTTTTTTTTTTTTTTTTTTTTTTTTTCCTTAACGTTTCTTGAGGTCACTTAAGATTATCCGAGGATGCACGATGTAGTTGCATCTTGATCGATTTCTGTATAGTAATATATAAATGTTAAGTAATTGCAACAAGATATTGAGATCAGTAGTAAAAGCTGAGTATCCCGTGGTGTGTGTTTAGTCGTGGGGGTGGTCTACAGCAGAGGGTGACGCAAGCTGCGACGCAGGCCGCTACTAATGCCGCCGTGAACGAGCTGATGGACGCATTCAAGATCAAGTAAATAGACTCGCAGTCCATAATTTTCTATGATCTTGCCCCTTTAACCACGATACGATTACATGGGTACTCCTTATTTAAGTTAAAGCGCAAGTAGATGGTAGACTGTTCAGGGTTGAGAATGAACACGACTAATTCGATGTCCCGCTGTTTTTTCTCTCGATAGAGTGATTTCAATAACAGTTCTTCCGCGTAACCAGCTATTATTATTATTTTTTAAAAAATCCTTTTTGCTCTCTATCTGTTTCTCTCCATTCGCTCTCTCTTTCTCTCTTGCATGATCCGAGAAATTGGATTCACCGCGACGATGACGATGACGATGCCATCGAAGCTGTATGTCGTTAAGTAGACACGCGATGATACACCGAAAGAGAACGTCAAGTTCGTACGCGTTTTAGTCGTGCACACAGAGAATATAGTAAATACGATTAAGAGAGTATATTTGTAAGACTTGTAATTTTTTCTTCTTTACATTCCATATGTATCGTTCGCGCCTCCTAACGATGGTTAGCCGTTGAAAGGAAATAAATGTGCTTTTACGAACCGTAGATTAATCATGCGCGTACATTATGTAATCCAACGTGAACCGAAAAACGAAGAAAATGAGAAAAAATTTGGTCGAATAAAGTAGAATTTCGAGAGATTCCGAGAATAAAGTAGAGCGTAACTTTTAGTAGATATCGTTTTCGCTTTGGAATTCTCGCTGGAGGCAGCGATCTTCTTGTCGATAGAGACGTATGTTTAAAAAGAAAAGAGAACGGAGGAAACGTTGAAAGCTCGTTAGATATTACTAGTATCTCCAGTGAATCTATCCTGGAAAGTCTACCAGAACCCTATAATGTGATCAAAAGGTAGTCTCAATTAAACGGAATTTCCATGGTAAAAGGAAGTCGTCGTCGTCGAACGTTCGTTTCCGGACTTGCGGATAGAAAAAAGAATGAAAATGTCATGCTGTTGGTGTGAGGATCGAATGTATCGTTGACTGTTCGCTTTATCCATCGGCGACGATTGTATTAACACCGGCTAAGTTTAAGCAATCAGTAATTATATTAATTGCGCGACTAAATAAAAGTCATCACACTGTTTCTCTACCTCTTAACATGTTCACCATGATTAGTTTCATTCTTAGCTATATCAATACTAAATATAAACCATATAAAGATTATAATTATACATATGTATGTATATATACATACACACTAGCTAATCCCTATGAAATATTAACAATAAATAAATAAATAAATAAAAAAAAAAGAAACGTGCTCAGACATAGGATGTGATATAGCGTAGATTGCTTCGAGGATTTTGCATGAAAATCCTGAGTTGCGAACCCAACCCTTTCTCTCTCTCTCTCTCTCTCTAAAAAATTAAACCTAACAACCGACACTAATGATACCGGATCAGAATAATATAATATTATATGCGTATTATAGCAATTGTATATCGTTCTAATGTATAATTGAATGTATGTATATCACGTTAAGCGAGCATGATTGGGAGCTGCGTTTTCTTTCGAACGATATGTTGTTTCCTACAGCTCCGCGATCGTACCTTGGCAGATTCAATTAATTGTACATGTACATACATAAGGATGAAACACACGATGTATTCACACGTTTACTGTGTAGTTAGACGCATCTATGACTAACGAGGCGATGTGCTTTCGAGTTTCCGTAACACATATTCGTAATATTTATATGTATAATTTTGCATAAGATTAGAGGAAGCGTGCAGAGAAACGGAAGGTTTGTTCAACTTAAGAAGAAATTAAACTTTGACAGAAAATTGGAAAATCCTATCTGATATCGTTATATAAATTGTATTAGATTTTTCTATGTGGAATCATCTTTGTAGATGATTTTTGGCAAATCTTAACGCGCCTATCAGAGGCGTGACATATCTTATTGTAAGCATATATTTCTTGCGGATTTAATTCTCTTTGATTGTTCCGTTTCACTGATCGTTATCATCATTAAGGTACACATATTTATACATAAATATTAGTCGGTTCGACGTAATCGTTAAACGTGTCATCGTCATCGTAAATAGCGGTTCTACGCGATCAGAGCAAGTTCGAAACGTGGATTTACCCCTGGTTATGTATTTTCCGTGCAGTGACGCGCGGAAGATGAGGATTGAGGACGATGATCAAAGTGCAATTACAAAACCAGAGAGAAAAAATATTATTTTTCGTTACAGCTAAGGCTAGATGATGAATTTCGAAAAGCGTTCCTCGCGTCACTGCTCCTTTCGCGAGAAAATCAAGCACACCTCTTTTCTTATCACTTTTCTGTTAGAAACTCAGCGAGGCCTGCTCTAATACCTGTTCGTTTCGATATTAAACGGTCCTAAAATACTCGATTAACAGTCTTTATCGCATAGAAATATTCTCCCCTAAATTCAGTCGTGAATTAAATTTCGATGATCGCATCTGGTGCTGATAGCCTCTCGTAAGCTCTATCATATCTTGAAAGGAAATAAATGTTCGAAATCACTCTATCGTCGAAAGCACGTCGCACTCGTGAATTAAAACAAGATTGATCGTTTATCGACATTGAAAAAAGCTATGGTTCGTGATTTTCAGGCTACTATATCTGGTTATTAACCCTTTGCGGTCCAAGCGAAAGTGTTATCTTAAACATCTCTGAAATTTGAAGATCTTAACAGAAAGAAAAATGAAAAAAAATCAGATCCATTGAAAATATTGTATACGAGGACCACAAATGGTTACATGGAATGTGTTTCGCGTACGTTAACGCTCGATAAAAGAAACGAAAAGGGTTCTTATTAAAATATGGAAAAGGGAAACATTCACGAGCAACCACAAGTGGTATTACTGTAATGTTATTGTACAAATACCTATACATATGTCTAACTACCAATCATTTTATGCATCGTACATAAACAAGGATTAAATAGATCGTGCGTTGAAAATTACAGAGTAAAATTGCGATTAACGATGTTATTATCATTGTGAACCGACGTCGCGTTCTATCGTATAAGGGTATAGAGAAAGACGTTATTCGTTTCGGTAGAGCGTCACGTTCCGTGTACGGTAGATTGTGAAGCCTTTTATTTTCGTAAAAAGTACACCTTAGCGTCGTTACTTTCGAGACGGATCGTTCTTGTTACGAGTCTAAAGAGACGATTAGAGATATAAGTAGATGCACGAGGTGTAGCGTTTACAATAACTGGGCATATCAAGTAGCAAACCGTGCAGAAAGATCGTTCTTCATTGTGTCCAGGTACTTCGATGTTCGTCGACGCTATTTTTTTCGATTCCACCCTTCTAAACTCTATCTTACATTCCTTATTTTCTTTTCGTATCGTTTATACTTTAATATACGTCCCTCGTTTATAATTTATCAATTAAGGTATCTTAACGGAGAAGACTCGTTTAACTCCTGGAAACATTCCATTTTCTTCGTTCTTTAAAAAATACATTTTCATTCTTAATTCTAGCTGGGTGGAATCTTTGATACAAACGTTACAACGAAAGACGACAAGTAAAGAAACTGTGCAATCGGCTCGTGAAGGTTTCTTCACGATCCTTTCTGATGTTTCTTTACCCTCGCACCGTCAATTAAACGATTCAACCGATTGATTTGAACAATTTTTTTCGTCCCGTTCGGTTTCACTTTGTATCGTGCGATCTGCGAACGAAGATACCCGTCGCGCCTCGAGCCTAAGGCACTCGAACAAAAGCCTCGGCATTCGTGACTAGATCCAGCGAAACTAGCGTTGATAATGTTTAGCGATATCGTCGCGTAAAGGCCGAATTAACGGATGGATGGGAAGGAACAAGGGAAATCGTTGACCCTCTTTTGCGAACTTTCAAAACGATAACGCGTTATCGTACCTAGCATTTAATCGTCCGGCAGAGAAGCGAATCTGAACGTGTTCTTTCCAAACGCCTGCTCGTTGCCATCAATATAGCGTAATCTAACTTGCGAACAGTTTTTCACTTACTTAGACTATTTTTTCTATTTTTCTATTTAACGTTTAGTTTGTTCGGTGCGCGCGTTCTTAATCGGTTCCGTTCAGATCGCTTCAGCGGAACGTAGAGAGGAAGAGAAGAGAAGATAAAACAATGAAATCACGCCGAGAGAAACGCGAGCAATCCTTTCACGCGACAAAATTGTTACATATGCTTCCATCTAAAAGCCTTAAGATACGTAGCGAGATTCTAGTTACAAGAAGCTTTCCTTGCGCGACACGAAGCTGTTGTACACTGCGGGCCGAGCATATATACACGCGATAATTCACGAATTTTAAGCGAACGAGGAAGAAGAGAAACAGCCGACGAATTAAGCGGAAGAAATGCCGATGAAGATTCTCACGCCAGTTTCATCGCCGACGTTTTTCACGGGGGTTGTTAAAGCGATCGTGGCCACTGACGATCTATGTTTTTCTATAAATTTACAAATTTTATTTTTTAACAGACGTATGTTGCGGTTAGAAGATGAAATAAATTTTCTTGTTTCTCTTATATTAAATTCCAAAAGCTTTGTCAGAATTTCACCACGAAAGCGTTAACACCCTAACTGCCACGGGGAGTCACCAGTAACCGGCGCTGAAATCTTAATTTCATTCGAATGAAAAGGAACTTAATTTTTAATAATCCATTCGTGTGCCTAGACAAGAATATCTCCACCTTGGCAGTTAAAGTTTCATTTCTTAGAATACAAATTTTTCATCCCCAGAGTACGCTACAAAAAATTTTGAATATCCACTATTTTAATTGATATAATGAACTTTTTTAATATGAAATTCCATGATGGTATTCTAAGGAGTGAAATAAACGTCGGGATGAATCATGAACGTCAAATCGATGGTGCACCCTTGAGAGAGAAAAATAACAAAGAAATCTAATGTTCCCTGAGAACGTTACAGCTGTCCGGTATTTTATAAAGTTCTAGTAAAAACCTTGATCATCATTTTGATACCTGTTATACTGATTTTTATAGAAGGAATTCTTTTCTACGAGATATGTCGAGATCGCTCGCCCTATCCGTGTATTGATTCATCCCCGATTATTATAGTCGGGGAGAATTCGTGTTACGAGCAAGGGAAACATTCTCGGAAGGGTTACTTGGCGAATTATTTTTCTTTCGAATTGTGCACTTCACTCACGGTTCATGTTGTAATATTGCGCGGCTACGCTCGCGCGATATACGTACACTGTTTTATTGCAATATAAATGTGTATATAGGATATAAACATGTTATAGATTATAAATATATAAATATCTATATATATATATACATAAATGAAAGAGGATCCGAGAGAAATTTATAGATATCGACCGGAAACGCATTTCCGCCGGGGAAATATATATCTTGGAGCAAACTCTGCGGCTGAATAATATTTTTCAATAATTAACTGTTGTTATTAGCCGTGTAATGTTACTTGACCATTGATTAATTATTAATTATTAATCACTGATGATGCTGTTTTCTTTTCTTTTTTTTTTTTTTTTATATATGTGTGTACCACTAATTACTCTGATTTCGCTTCGTTGTGTGCGATAATTAGGATTACTTTTTAATTAAGAACGTGGGAGATCCTGATCATCCCCGCACGCTGGAATGCGTATTCGCGTTCTGCGTTCTTTTTCTTTGATCGAACCTCCTCCCTCAACCTTCCACCCACACACACGTCTGTTACCCCCTTTTTTAAAATTATATTTCACCCTTAAGCAAATCCAGGATTTTATCTCGTGAAGTAATATTTCAAATATTCAATGATGTTTCTTTTGTATTCAAAGGACGTTTGCAAGGAGTAGATTGGATTTTAAGAACGAAAGAAATCATTGTAACGAACGTCCTTTCTTCATCATATCTTAATGTTTGCATGGGTTTTCGCTATTTGCTTGAGCATGTTGTGCAAATCACGAGTTATTTTTTTTTTGTTTCGTCTCGACAGATTATCATTCTCATTGCTTTAATTGTATTATTTAATCATTCACACGAGTAATCTATTTATGTACTTTCACGTTGCATAATCATCTACTGCGTGTTTACACCGTTATTTATGTTCGTGTATTTAAGACGATGATAACGTGCTCGTTTCGCGTTCTGACACACATTCGACGATTACTGTTACATTCTTCATTATTGATTTTTCATTAGCATACAAAGGAAAATATTCCACTTCTTTTACGTTAAGTATAGTCATTCGCCCGTCTATGACTTAGTACAATCAATCTGTAACGATATCCAATTAAATTTATTCGTTTGAATTTTGTTAAACGATCGTTATATTCGTTTCTTAAAATTTCAAGAGGAAATAAATTTAATTGATCATGGAATAGTTACACGACTCTTCGAACGTTAGATGAAGTATAGTACAATTTTAAAATAACAAATACCAATTTGAAATCGTTTAAACTCTCGTTCGAAGGGTATGAATTTTTCACACGATCACGAACATTCATCGCCGCTTGAATCGTTTAAATGCAAACCTTATCATCGCCGCGTCTCTTATGCACCAGAAAACATCCCGGTACTTAATCACTGTCTGTGTTTATAGGCGTCCTGTACCCAATATTCCTCCCCGAATTCCCGACAGACCGAACTACGGCCGATTACACTGAGCTAGTCCATGGAAAGCACGCGACACCTGTGCGTAGGATATCGTTGCGAAACGAGTCGATGAGCGGAACAGGAGAAACGACAGCTCAGAAGCAAACTGGTAGATGCGAGCAAAAGCTGTACGGGTGAATCCGGGGGTGAGAATCCTCTCGAGGACCGGGTCCATTTCCGTGTGCTCTTCCTTAATATCGACCCCACGAAAATGGTCAACATCGAAATCGTCGCTTCGTGCCCTGCTAAAGATTCGAAGAGGAGGCACACGATCGGTGAAACGGGAGGAACAAGGCTGTGCCACTAAAAAACGAAAGAGAAAGAGGGACCAAGAATTGAACGGAACCTAATCACCGACGCACAGAGAAGACAAAGGATCTAATCCGATTCAACGAACCGGAGATTCGGTCACTTCTACTTCTTCTTTCTCTGATAATTTCGTCTTCTATGTTTATTTATGTACCGTTAGACGCGTTTAAGTTACGTGTTAGCTGTTAAGTATTAGAAGTCGGTGCGCTCGATGCGTCCGATTCGCTCTGGAGGAACGATGATTAGCTCGTGTCCGCGATAAGGGTTCTCCGGCCAGAAGCGACACGGTTATCGAGCCGCGTTAATGGTCACGTTTTTTCATTAATCAGTATTAATAGGTGTGAGGGGGTAATCGATGATTCGCTTTCGCTCGTATCACCGCGAACGCGCTTCGTTGACGAAACCTTTCGTTCTGTTTACACCATTCGGGGAATCCACGATAGTCGAGATGAAATCTTTTTGAAACCATAGGGTGTTCCTTTATATAAAATTTGGAATGAGATGATTCTGTATATCGAGTTGAAAAATGATGGGCCATTTAAGGGATGCAAATTTTTCTTAATTGTTCTATTTGGTTTAATATGATGAAAAAGAATCGCTTCTTACCGGAGAACCTCTAAGATATTGTTAAAACGAGATTCGTGGATGATGATAACGTGCAACCCGATTACCTCGATCTGTAGAACTCGCTAGAAAAGTACACGGTTCGCCCTACGATTTGTATAAAAAAAAAAAAAGAAAGAAATGGGTCGAACGAAATGATATTCGAACAACAGCATTCCAGAGAGAACGGCTGTGCGGGAGGAAATGAAAAAAAGGGAACCACGACTCTAAACAATTCTTTTTGTACGATTTATTTATTGAAATACGTTTACTACGATGCCATTTAACAGCTCGAATTTGTAAGTTAGCAATCGAGTCGCGAACAACGAAATTAATGATAGATGTAAATTTCTTCTCAACACGTGCGTACGTGTGATCGTCGTTTTCAACATTTTTACTTGTTTTTACGGTTATTTTTGCATCTTAACGGTTAGAGCTGTTGTGATAGACGCTTTCGAAGGGACACGACGATAGGTCTGCGCGAGGTCCCTCGAGTTACGATCGTTGTTTTAACAAACGCCACAAAATTGTACATAGAAAATCGAAGTCCAAGCATAGTATTACGTGTCGATGTACGTACTAGGGTGAAAGAGAAAAATTTCAATTTCCTTTTTTTTTCCTTTTTTTGTAATACCAAACTTTTCACGCGTCGATAGCCATGGATAATAGTTATGGATAACGACACTGACTGACGAGTAATGTACCTAGGACACGCGACGAATCAAATAAATGATATTTAATACGAAATTCGATAATCCTAATTATCTCCCCGGATCGAAACATTTCTATCGTTCGATCGTCTATTGTTCTTCTCTGTGTAAATTCTTCGTGTTTTTTTTTTCTGTCAATTGTAAAAACTTCCTGCGAAATGCGATTTTGATTTCTCGACCATTGAAACGTGACATAATTTTTGCAATAGATCCACGCGGATTCTAAATAAACAGCGTATTGTAAAATTTCTTTCGTTGAAAACTGTATCTTGTTGAAAGTTTGTTTATTTCAATGGGGCTAATATGTCGGTGCAAACTTGCTGCCGAGATCAACGCAAAATGGGACAAGTGATCGATCAGATGAAAATCCTCGCTAATAATCTGGACGAGTTGCGTTCGGAGATCGATGCGTTGAAAGGTAATTTTCTAAAGAAAGATAGTGGCTTTTTCCAACAGACTGGAGACATTAAAAATAATATTGTTAGAAAGTTGAAGAGGTACATGAGAAAAGTAACGAGCATCAGTGAAAGAAAGTCTGATAATCAAGAGGTAAATTTGATCATTAAAATAATTAAGAAATTATTTACACTAATTTTCTGTTATGTATTCTTTCTACCAGGTTTACTATCCCTGCACAAATTCAGACGCTCCGATGCCTTCGTTTTTGAATTATATTTTTCGAATCGGTAAACGAGAAGACGTATGGCAAATACCGACTAGAGTGAAGTATTTAAATAACGAGGGTAACCAAACGGATGAGAAGCTGGAGGAGCTTGAAGAAACTGCAGAAAATAAAATTTACTCGCATGAATACGTAACTATGACACCACGGTGTTCCGACATAAGCTGCGAATTAGATTCTCGAGTAGAAACCCCATTTTCTTCAGCGACTAATCTTCCCTCTAATTTATCGACGACTCAAATTGATCCTAAAAATTCTTCGCAAAATACGAAAGTATCATTGCCGAATGGTGTTGGTAAACGATTAACAGCTGCCACTACTCAAACTACAGCACCTAGATTGAGAAGAAATCGGAAAGTTATGAAGTCTCAGTCTAAAAATAAAAATATCTATTTTTCCAAGTTCAAAAACGGTGTAATTACTAAGAAGACCATAAGAAACTCGAACGAAAGTACCTTAAGAGTTTGCAGAAATGATTATTCATATTTGAAGAAAAAATTCGATGGACAGTATCCTTGGGATAAAAAGAAAGGAAGTAACATTGAGACGGTTAATAATGGAAAGATGAATAAGGAATTTTCTTTGGACAAAATTATTCAAAGATTGAAAGATATCTCGTCTACGAACGATGAGACTCTGCAAGAAGATAGCTGGTCTTCTTCATCGGTGTCTGTTGATTTGGAAGTGAATATTTCGAATAGTTCTAGCAAGATTGATGAATTTACTGAACGTAGAAAACCAAGAACTTACGTTGTACGTAAATCGTCCCAGAAACGTGATCAAGATAATTGGTCGAATCATTTCGAGAAGAGTATAATTTATGTTGGATCGACCTCTGATTTAACCCTCTTCTCTCACAGTTTTTTAAATTAAAATACTCTTCTTCAACCATGAAATAAGTCGTGGTTTATACTTTAAAACCTTCTCAAGGAATTACTCTAAATAAAAAAAAAAGAGCCATAAAAATTGAATAATTGATTTTTAAAATAATCAAGAATGTATAATCGTCTTCCCTATTGTGCTCGGTACTGTACATAGTAAAATGAAGTGATTTCTTTGCAAGATTATATATTTATTCATTCTATATTATTTATGATAAATCATTGATATAATCCTTGGTTAATCCTCAGGATTAACAGATAACCGTTACAGTCTCTTCGAGTTGCATTCATTAAATAAAATACATTTATTTCATCTCCATCGTTTTTGTATCTAATTAAAATGATTACATATAAAAATACTGCCATAGAAGTCTCTATAATTGTAATTTGCACACAATACTCATTTCTTCCATATGAAAATTATCAATTTCTTCGTTTGTACTTGGTTCCAATTGTCACGATTATTCTCGTAGAAAGCTGCCCGTTGGAGAAAAGAATAAATGGAACTTTTTTTCTTTTTCTATATATCATTCCCATCGTTCGTGATTTTATGAATTATTTTTGGCGACTGCAGTTGCAGTCACCGAGTTCGCGGCGGGTGCTTGGCTTCCGGAGATCGCCCCCCAAACCGCCACGAACGTCCCAAACGCCCCTTCATTCGAATCAGTGTTTTTCTTGAAATTGTGCACCGAATAACGATTGTACAGCCCCCAGATGCTGTTCATTAATTTGCTATTATACTTCAGTGGAGTGAGCTCCCGGCCTGCAAGTTGAAGATAAAATTATTTCAATTTCAATTGAAAAAATTTTTTTATTTCTTGCCTCTGTTCAACAGCTACTACTGTTTTCTATTACCTAATATTGCCATTTTTATATTAATTCTGATCATTATTATTTTTTAACACGATCCTATGTAATATTAAAATATAATTTCCAAATTTTTTCATTCTTCCCCCTATCGCTTGATTTACTCAATGTCAGAATTAACATTTTCTGTAAACATTACTCAAACAAGTTAATTAAATCTCGATAATAGATCGGTAATGAAATAAATCCGGCTCTTTTTCTTCAAGTGACATCTAAGACGCAGTTTGAAAAATACAACAGTACAAGCGTCTGATAATGCATCGGATAAGCACCTTCCAATGGAGGTCTCTCGCTGAACGCGGTTTCCTTGTCGACCTTCTCATCCATCGGTGTTATCATAGAATTGCGTTCAAGATTACGACGGACTTTGCACGCTGCAAATGCACCCTGCGGAATTGTGGCCATTCTTCCACAATCTAGAACAGTAAATATACCGTTTCGATTACGTACCGTTCCATTAAACCGCGACGATGTCTAATAAAACGTACCAATGCAACGTTCAAACAGCAGCTCGGCGATTTTCTTTTCAGCGATCTTAGCCAGATTTTCTTCGGCTATCTTCTCGATCTTAGATTGTTGGACTATTTTGAACCTCCGCAACTTTCTACTTGCACGTGTAATCGTTCGCAAACTCATGCAGCCACTATGGAAACACTTGGAAATTCTCATCGACCGTTCTTCTTGAACGGAATAACAAATAGTAGCAGTCGTGTCTTCTCGAGACTCGTTTTACGCGTCGTTTGAATACCGATGGGTGTTCCTTCGACTTTGTTAGCCGACTAACAGCACGTATGAAAATTGCGGTTGATTTATGAACTCGTCTCTTTCTCATTTATTGGAGGGGGAGGAGATTTGATGAGACGAAACTAATTGTAAGAAAAAGAAAAGAGCGTCTTTGTATGACGAGCATAAGATATCAGCCGTCCTTCAATGCTGACGCCGTCGACCACCACGACTTCCTTATCTCTCGAAACTTCCTCGGTTCTTGAAACGGCGGATCGCGCCTTTTGCCCCGTGGCATGTGACCTATTATGTCGATGCTCTGATATTTCACAGCTTTTCTACTATTTACCGCTCTGTTCTTCGAAATTAAATGGAACTGCTTTCGAATTGCTGTCAAACTGATGGCTCCAAGTCATCTTATCGCGTTAATGTTACTGAAATGTTTGAAATGTTTGTTGATAATCTTTTATGCGCTTAGTGCAAGCTGTTTCCAGTAAAAAAACTATTGATCGATCACTGATTATCGTGGAGATTTGTTATTTTATTGATTTTCTATTTTTAAGTCGTATCACTTCCAACTGGAAAACTTCTAAGCAAAATTAACATGATTAATGTTTATAATTGTTGATGAAATTACTAATTAAAATTACAGATACATGGAGTATAATTTATCTACGGAGCAATAGCTGCAAGTAAGTAATATTATAAAATAATCATTTGAAAATCGCAAGACTTCTAATTGGTCAAATACTTTGCTAAAATAATTTCATTTTCAATTGATATTCCACCACTAATTAAATTTGTGCAAAAGAAATAATAAATATATATTTATTTACAATAAATATCTGAAACATTACTATATTTATTCAACTTTTCGCTCAATTGAATTCCGCGCTAGTAAAAAAATCGGAACCACGCCATCTAGCGGATGAGATCGGAACTAACTATTTCTAATAGGAGAGCAGAAAGAGCATGGAGGTATGCCAAGGGGTATGCTATGCATGTGCAGGGAAAAATCATTAATAACTTATTTTCTAGGAACAATTTATGAACTTTTATGATTTATTCTTGAAGTACAAGCTTGCAGCTACTTTCATATATAAGTTTTGTAAAGATCCTACTAGTAATTAATTAATTATAACAATTTTAAGATCGACCGCTCGATGCGTGCGTACCCATGGTAGGGAACTTTCATAGTTTTCTGCCTTCCGGTGATCAATTTCAGTACTTTAGCGATTAAAGAATAAAGAATAGCGCAGCAGCTATTTTCTAGTATAGGTTTTAGCTTCCTTCTGAAAGTAATTAATTAATTATTAGTAATTTTTAGAGTGATCATTCTCGTAGATTCGAGCCGCCGCCCATATAAGAATTCATAATTCATTAATTAGTGGCTGGATTCTTACAAAACCTATATTAGAAAGTCGCTTCAAGTATGTAGATTAAGAATCAATCATAAAAGTTCATAAATTGTTTCTAGAAAATAAGTTATTACTGATTTTTCCTTCGATTATCGATTTTAAACGCCCACAGCGCCATCTAGCGGACGGGGTCGGAACCTACTATTTCTAATGGGAGAGCAGAAAGAGCATGGAGGTATGCCAAGGGGTATGCTATGCATGTGCAGGGAAAAATCATTAATAACTTATTTTCTAGGAACAACTTATGAACTTTTATGATTTATTCTTAAAGTACAAGCTTGCAGCTACTTTCACATATAAGTTTTGTAAAGATCCTGCTGGTAATTAATTAATTATAACAATTTTGAGATCGACCACTCGATGCGTGTGTACCCATGGTAGGGAACTTTCATAGTTTTCTGCCTTCCGGTAATCAATTTCCGTACTTTAGCGATTAAAGAATAAAGAATAGCACAGCAGCTATTTTCTAGTATATGTTTTATAAGCATTATATCGTTAATTAATTATTTATTAGCATTTTAAGGGTAATCACGCGATTAAAAGCGACGTGTGGCAGAGATCTTTATTCATTTTCTCATTTCCCATGACTAATTTGTATTCTTTATTGATCGAAGAATGAAGCCTGATGCTGTAGCTACGTTCTGCATTAGCTTTTGCCAACAATTTGCTTCAGAATAATTAGTTATTAACAAATTTTGGAGTAAGCGTTTTGCATGTTGGTGCCGGCGTTCCTATAATTACCCATAATTAATTATTTATCAGCAGAATGTTCACAAAACCTATATGTGAAAGTAGCTACAAGCATGTAGTTTAAGAATCAATCATAAAAGTTCATAAATTATTCCTAGAAAATGAGTTATTAATAATTTTTCCCTGCACGTGCAAAGTATACCTCTTGGGATACCTCCACTGTTTCCTGCTCTCCTATTAGAAATAGTTAGTTCCGATCCCACCCGCTAGATGGCGCTGACTAATAAATTATTTAGATGGCCACATCGTAATTGCAATATACTTTAATCACAGTGAATGATTATCAACTTCCATTCATTTTATTTTAATTTTTTATAAATTCGATAATTAAGTATCTCCAGCCTGCAGGCCGTGCTCAACAACTCCGTAATTGCAAACTTACCTTTAGGTTTAGAAGAAGAGCTTGTAGTTTACCATCTTGTATCATTACCAATGGAAAAATTGGTAATAAACGAATTTGGTCTTGTGGTGTAACTTTTAAGCGTTTAATCGAATGTTAATGTTTACGTATAGAAACAACGCTTATGTGACCGTGCAGAAATAATTCTGCTCCTCAAATATTAGCAATAAGGCTAAGTGTAATTCTGACAGAGTTTTTAAGAAAAACATATTGTCAGATTTCAGCGCTGCACGATGGATTCCATTCCAAGAACGCATGAAGGTTTGTTGTTGTACAATTCTTTGAATACTGAGGCAATATTACTAATAACCACAACTATTTGTCTAATTAATGTAATGTACTTACTTTGTTTTTAAATACTTTTATGTGAAATTTTGGTTACTCAAATGGAAAATGCTCAAGTGATCAAATGTTTCATTAGTTAACCACTTGCACATCGTTGCTTATATTAAGATGTAGCAAATCATAACTGTTAATACTACTATTAGTATTAAATTGATGTTAAATTTTAGATATTGAAGCACAAATTCGAGAAATTCAATCAAAGAAAAAGGAAATTCAAAATGCAGCCACAGAAAAAGAACAAGTGGGGCTAGGAAAAACTGGTTTTTATGACCAAGATATTTATGATGGAAGTAATAACAAATATGAAGGCTATGTCACTTCAATTGCAGCCAATGATGAAATTGAGGTAATTGTTATCTTGATAGCTTTGTATTTTACTTTACTTTATTAACACAACCATTAACGTATTATTCTTTTTCAGGATGAAGATTATGAACCAACTACTTTTAGTACTAACAAAAGACCAGGTTACAATGCACCAGCTGCGTTACTTAATGATGTTGCACAGGTGAAACATTAGAATATATACACATATATATATATGTGCATTACCAGTAACAGTGTTTATGATAGTAGAATATTAACATTTATAATATTTAATGTTTTTTATTGTTTAGAGCGAAAAGGATTACGATCCATTCGCAGATAGACGACGTCCTACGATAGCAGATAGAGAAGATGAATACAGACAAAAGAGGCGCCGGATGATTATATCACCTGAGCGTGTTGATCCTTTTGCAGAAGGTTGGTATTTTTTTCTTTAATCTTAAACAATATGAGAATAAAACAGGTAATTAGATATTAAGTGTGTTTATGTATTATTATTCTTGTTCATATTTTGGAGCAATGTAATAGAGTATAATAGCCACACATTCTTGTTTTTTTATTCTATGAAAGTTTCCTTTATATATAGATAGCAATTTTTCCAAGCTTGTATTAAAATATTTTACAAGATTTATTGAAATCGAATGTTGTATATAATTATTTACCAATTATATTGCAACAAAATATATGCACAATAAAGCTTTCATCACTGCAGTTTGTAAGGAAATAAACCCACATTAAATACTTACTTTGCAAAATTATAAAGAAAAAATCAACTTAATTTCGATGTAACCGAACTTTGCTTTTTACTAATATGGAAGATTAGAAGTAATAATATGGAAATTATTAAGATCGAAGAAATTAATTAAGTTGACTTTTTCGTATCAAGTTATATAGAGATATAAAGCTAAGAATGATAGAAAACTTTAATAGTTAAAGACCAAAGCTTTGAATTATTTTTTATTAACCATTTTAAAAATTTTTTTGTAGAATGAAAAAATACAATTTACGATTATATGATTAATAAATTATTTAACTTCATGAGTAATTAATCAGATCATGATTTTTCTCATTTTTTAAATGATCTATAAGAACTTTCTTTTAAATTATTTCCGATATATATTAATTCATGTATTATGCATTGTATCTTTTACATTTAACTGGATGTGTTATAACATTAGGATTTCAACACTGAGTCATGCAAAATTATCTGCTACTTTGATGAAATTATATGTATGTATAAATAAAAATATTAAGTATGTGAATACTACAGCAAACAAAAGTACTTTTAATATTTACACATTTTAACTTGGAAACTTAATTCTGAATAAGTATTTATTAATTAATGCAATTCGGTTGCTGTAGTATTGCTAACTACAATAACTGAGGCCCAAACAAAATGATTCGAACTCTTAGAAAAACTCGTATAAAGGATTCAGTTTCAATGGAAATTTATTATTTTTATTTGAAGTATAATATAAATCCTCTTTTTTATACTACCTCAGTTGTTAGTAGTTAATAGTTTTAATATTTTTTCATGCTCAGATAGTGGAAGCATTGTGAAATAGATAAGAACTGGGTTGAATGAAGAGAGTGAATGTGATTCTTTCAAATACATACTAATGTATACATTTTTTTCCAATCTTAGTGACGGTCTGCACGTTTGGAATCATCTGCTTACCGAGGATACTATGTCGAAGGTTAAGCGAGATTGAATTGTCACAGCATTACAGTCACATCCTATAAATGATACAATGAGATATTTTCATATTGAATTATTATTTCACACATTTTCCCGGGTGTTAAAAGAAATTGTCTGTTTAATCTTTTAATTATACTAACACGTCTATGTCACCAAATTCCCATTGTATCATACATTTTTCGTGAGAACGTAAATATTGAAAACTAGAATGAGTGGTTGGTGTGCAAATATTATTAATAACGAGAATGAGTTGATTTTTAGATGGCTAAAGTATTTTTCGATGTGGAAGACTTGAGCAGGACAGTGCTCCCTATGGCACCAAATTTTCACGTACGTATGCTATATGCCATCTACTGTTGCAGCTCTCTAAAATTCGTTGTGTGAATAATATATATTCTGTTACTTATGATTTACATTACCTTCGTAAAACTTGTTATCATTTAATTTGATGATATATGCAACGTGGAAATGAGAGTGAATTCAGTAGTTTACTTAGAATATACTAAAATATTCTAAGGGCAATTTAACAATAATTATTATAATAAAATGACTAGGTATGTTCAGAAGTTTTTGAAAGTTTAAGCATTCTTTGATCAAATGTCTAATGGTTGCGCTTTGCGTGACGTTTGATTCCTGATTACAGGTGGTAAGACTCCAGACATCGGTTCTAGGACGTATACTGAGATTATGCGAGAACAGTTATTAAAAGGAGAAGAAACTGAGGTACGTGAATTCTAATTTTTTCTTACCTCTTTATATGTAAATAATAAATCTTTATTCCTTCACAGTTACGAAAAAAACTAGCGGAAAAAGCCAAAGAAGGAACTTTAAAAGCAAATGGTGAACCTAAGCCAGCACCTAAGAAAAGGGGTCGTTGGGATCAAACAGATGATGCTCCAACACCTAAGAAACCAACTGGTACCACTATAGCACCAACATCTTGGGACAATGCAGATGTAAATGAAAAAAAATATATATATATATATATTTGAAAATATTTGTGAATTTGAAAAGATATAATAGAGTTTTGTGTTTAAAATATTATCAGGTAACACCAGCTGCCATCAGATGGGACGAAACACCCGGACATGGTAAAGGTGGAGAAACTCCTGGTGCAACGCCAGGTGTAAGTACAAGAATGTGGGATGCTACTCCAGGGCATGCAACACCTGGTGCAGCTACTCCTGGTAGAGAAACTCCTTCTCATGAGAAAACCGTTTCAAGTCGTAGAAATCGGTGGGATGAGACACCGAAAACTGAACGTGGTATGTTTACACGATTTCAAGATAAGCTAATAATAAGTTTTTGATATAATAATTAATGTTCGTATTTTAAACAATAGAAACACCTGGTCACAGTAGTGGCTGGGCAGAGACTCCAAGGACAGATCGTGTTGCGGGGGACTTGATTCAAGAAACACCAACACCCTCTGCTAGTAAGCGTCGAAGTCGATGGGACGAAACACCTTCGAATCAGACACCTGGTTCTATGACCCCACAGACGCCAGCAACTCCTCTTACAACACCGCATCAAACTTCTATTTTAACACCTAGCGGAGTAACACCGACCGGACCTAAAGCTATGGGATTGGCTACCCCAACACCAGGGCATTTGATGTCGATGACGCCTGAACAGCTTCAAGCATATCGTTGGGAAAGAGAAATAGACGAGAGGAATAGACCACTTTCAGATGACGAATTAGATGCTCTGTTCCCTCCTGGATACAAAGTTCTACAACCTCCTGCCGGTTATATTCCAATTCGTACACCCGCAAGAAAACTCACCGCTACGCCAACGCCGATTGCGGGAACCCCGCAAGGATTTTTCATCCAAACCGAGGACAAAACTGCAAAATTCGTAGATAACCAACCAAAAGGAAACTTACCTTTTATGAAACCAGAAGACGCACAATATTTTGATAAATTATTGGTCGATGTTGATGAAGAGACACTCAGTCCTGAAGAACAAAAAGAGAGGAAGATTATGAAATTGTTATTAAAAATTAAAAATGGTACACCGCCGATGAGGAAGGCTGCTTTAAGACAAATCACGGACAAGGCAAGAGAATTTGGTGCAGGTCCTTTGTTCAATCAGATACTTCCCCTACTTATGTCACCCACGTTGGAGGATCAAGAACGTCATCTTCTAGTGAAAGTTATCGATCGTATTCTTTATAAATTAGATGATTTGGTGAGACCTTATGTACATAAAGTAAGTATACTTTAATTATTTTACTAAAATTATTTTATAATATTTTAACTATCATTTTCCAATATTAATAAATAATACAATTTATATTTAGATTCTAGTCGTCATTGAACCTCTACTCATTGACGAAGATTATTATGCTCGTGTAGAGGGTAGAGAAATCATTTCTAATTTAGCAAAAGCGGCAGGTTTGGCGACAATGATCTCCACGATGAGACCAGATATCGATAACATCGATGAATACGTGCGAAATACAACAGCAAGAGCGTTTGCTGTAGTTGCTTCAGCTTTAGGAATTCCTTCTCTACTTCCGTTTTTGAAAGCCGTTTGTCGTAGTAAAAAGTCGTGGCAGGCTCGTCACACGGGTATCAAAATTGTACAACAAATTGCCATTCTTATGGGGTGTGCTATATTACCACACTTGAAGAGTTTAGTTGAAATTATTGAACATGGTAATTACAGATTGATTTGTAATATAAAAAAAAAAAAATACTTTAAGAAATAAATATACGTTAATTACCTTACAGGTCTGGTTGACGAGCAACAGAAAGTACGTACCATTACCGCTTTAGCAATCGCTGCTTTGGCTGAAGCAGCAACACCTTACGGTATTGAAAGTTTTGACTCTGTTTTGAAACCACTTTGGAAAGGTATCCGTACGCACAGAGGAAAAGGTCTTGCTGCATTCTTGAAAGCTATTGGTTATTTAATTCCACTTATGGACGCTGAATATGCCAATTACTATACCCGTGAAGTGATGCTGATTCTCATACGTGAATTCCAGTCTCCTGATGAAGAAATGAAAAAGATCGTGTTAAAGGTAAGCCCCGGTATTAATATAAATTTTATTGAATGTGAAACTTACATGTATATTGTGAATAGGTGGTGAAACAATGTTGTGGAACAGATGGTGTAGAGGCACAATATATTAAAGACGAAATTCTTCCACATTTCTTTAAGCACTTCTGGAATCATCGAATGGCTTTAGATCGTAGAAATTACAGACAAGTATGTATCTTATTGTATGGATATATTAATATCGTAGATCAATTTACAAATTTTAATTTTTTAGCTCGTCGATACAACCGTAGAAATAGCAAACAAAGTTGGTGCATCAGAAATTATAAATCGCGTAGTAGATGATTTGAAGGATGAAAATGAACAGTACAGGAAAATGGTTATGGAAACTATTGAGAAAATAATGGGTAACTTAGGAGCCGCTGATGTTGACTCTCGTTTAGAAGAACAGCTTATAGACGGTATTTTATACGCTTTCCAGGAACAGACAACAGAAGTAAATAATATTCCTAATTGTATACTAATTAAATCTGCACATTTATTCTAATGAACATATCAATTGTTGCAGGATGTTGTAATGTTGAATGGTTTTGGTACAATTGTGAATACATTAGGAAAACGAGTAAAGGCGTATCTTCCACAAATCTGTGGTACAATATTGTGGAGATTAAATAATAAATCTGCGAAAGTGAGGCAACAAGCTGCTGATTTGATATCACGAATTGCTGTTGTTATGAAAACATGTCAAGAGGAAAAACTAATGGGCCATCTAGGTGTGGTTCTTTATGAATATTTAGGTGAAGAATATCCTGAAGTATTAGGTAGCATCTTAGGCGCATTGAAAGCCATCGTTAACGTCATAGGAATGACAAAAATGACCCCACCAATTAAAGACTTGCTACCGCGACTTACTCCTATATTGAAAAACAGACATGAAAAAGTTAGCATACACATATTTTCATATTTAAAACTATTAAAAATACATTACTTTATTATGAAATTTTTGTTGCGTAGGTACAAGAAAATTGCATCGATCTCGTAGGTAGAATCGCAGATAGAGGACCTGAATATGTGTCTGCCAGGGAATGGATGAGAATATGTTTTGAACTTTTGGAATTGTTAAAAGCTCACAAAAAGGCAATTAGAAGAGCTACAGTAAACACATTCGGTTACATTGCAAAAGCGATAGGGTAATTATAAATTAATATTCAAAGATTTTATTACGTTTTATGTTTTAATGTTTTCCAACATGTTTTAATGAATTTTTTTAGACCTCACGATGTGTTAGCAACACTCCTGAATAACTTGAAAGTACAAGAACGACAAAATCGTGTATGTACCACGGTAGCTATTGCTATCGTAGCTGAAACCTGTAGTCCATTTACGGTACTCCCTGCGTTAATGAATGAATACAGAGTACCGGAATTAAACGTACAAAATGGTGTATTAAAATCTCTATCATTTTTATTTGAATATATTGGTGAAATGGGAAAAGATTACATTTATGCTGTGAGTCCATTATTAGAAGATGCACTCATGGATAGGTAAGGATTTGTATACTATATAAAAATGAAATTTCTTTTATGTAATATTACAAGTTGTGATTAATATGTTGTTATAGGGATTTAGTTCATAGACAAACTGCATGCGCTGCCATTAAACATATGGCATTAGGTGTTTATGGGTTCGGATGTGAAGATGCGTTAATACATTTATTGAATCATGTATGGCCAAATGTTTTTGAAACTTCACCGCATTTGGTACAAGCGTTTATGGATGCCGTGGATGGTTTACGCGTCGCTCTTGGACCAATCAAAATATTGCAATATACTTTACAGGTATACAACTAAATCATTTATTACTAATAAATATTTTCGTTTTCTAGGGATAATGTTTCAAGCATTGGAACACCGTATAATGATTATATTTTTTTAATTTATAGGGATTATTCCATCCGGCACGAAAAGTACGAGATGTATATTGGAAAATTTATAATTCTCTTTACATAGGTGGACAGGATGCTCTTGTAGCTGGCTATCCTCGAATTATGAATGATCCAAAGAATCAATATATTAGATATGAATTGGACTATGTTTTATAATAGAACCAGATATATGCAAAATCCGTGTATCATACGTTTATATGATCTTCGTAAAAGTAAGTGTCGTTGGCTTATTGTTTATAAATAGTCATACTAAATAGCTGTCTGTTATGTGACATATAAGGTAGACATTACGGTGAACTTTGAAAGTATTTATTTCCTGGACTTCTTTTAACAAATTATACATAGATTCTTTTTTATTAGAAATTCATTCTAGACTTACTTAAAAAGAAATATATGTCAGTCCTTATTACAAATAAAAAGTTTCGTATCATAAGCCATATTAAATTTATTACATTTTAATATTCACTTAGTTGTTCCCTTAAATTTTTATAAGTTATTCAGTAATATCAATTTTATGCAAAATAGGTTTTATTCAATTCAGACTGTTAACACAGCTAATAACAGAAATAAAAAAAGTCTATCTTTCATAGAAGCAATATTGCAAACAAAACATTGATCAAGAATTATTTAACATTTTTTACTGTTAAATAAATAAAACTAGTAACAATATATGTTTAAATATTTATTTATAATTTTGTAAGAGAATTGGATATTTTATAGTGTATATTGTGGAAAATGTCCACATATTGAACTTGTGTACGGATATTACAACTTTTGAAGTATTATTGGAGAATACAGTCAATATTTGCTTTCTATAATCTCTTGCTATGAAATATACTTCTTGATCATAAGAATTTTTGTATCAAAATTGCATTTGAAATGTTTATCTCTCCCAAATATATTCTTGTTTACTTTGGCATAAAACATATATGCGTAAAGATATAAACGCACGTAATATCATTATATTTACGACATTCCTCGATTATTTATGATTTCAACACAATTCCATTAGTTTCGATTCTAATACATACGTTATACAGAATATTACTGCTCCTACTTTCAAATTAGAAACCAAGCAAAATTTCAACACTAAGCTCTTTATATCCTCAACATATTTTAATTATATATGAAGGCCTTTTACTTAATAGCACTTTTGTATACGTACATATCCGCAAAATATTATAATATACTAATACATAATTAAAAAGATATCTAAACACAAATTATGATTTGTGAAACATTCAAAATGTTAAAGAGATATTGAAATATATTTCGAAATAACGAAATATATATAACTGATATAGAAGACGCTTTAAAATATTCTTAACAAATACTATTGTTTAAAATGTCATTATCTTCATTTGCAATGCGTGTAACAAAAATGACAAAATGGCTCTAAAGACAATAAAAAATCTGGTAATTAAAATAATACAGGTTACTGTTATTATTTTTTTTATATTAGCTATTTCAGTATCGTTTTTATATAAACCATTTGTTTGAAAAACCTTTGGTATAAGAAGTACACAAAATTGGTACTTGATATAGTAAAACTTGGTATGATAAGAAAACGTAAAGAACAGCTGATTATAGAATCACATTGATATAATATGTATATATATACACATTATAAAAATTATTTTCAAGCTAAGTACTTATTAATAATTATGAATCTGCAAGAACAATATACGTATAATATGATAAAGATGTTATTCTTATATTCTTCAAATGTATTTTTCATTTATTTATTATTTTTTTCTTTTATTTTAGAATTTTTAAAATCAGATTCAATTACGAAAATTACGGTATATAAAAATGAGTTTTTAATTCCACCATAGCACCAAACACACATTTAACCATAATAAAGTTTTTCTACGAAATCTATCAACATAAAATTCGATTCTATAAACTTACAAATACTATACGTGATTCTATTAAAGTATGACTTGTAAAATATCTTTATAGAATTTTTAAAAAATTGGTTAAAGTGATAATTGTAGTGTTAAGTATGTTACTCCTTACACCGGGAAAACTTAATAAGTAACGAAATATACGTACACAGCTATCGCAAAAGTTAATTTAAAAAGAAAAAGATGTATAAATATCACAAGCACGCATAATTGTAGTATACAATTCACAATGAAAACTAGATAAATCTCACTTTCACTCTTTTACATTAAGACATTTCGATTCATCCATAATATGCCGAAATATTATTTCTCCTTATCTCTCTCGTTGTAGTGTAATAAGATTTACGATAGAATATCATATTTTGTTTTTTCAATAACTTTGGTAAATGACTATAGAATATGAAGGCTGTCAGTCATTTCTACAACTAATCAAATCATTTATACTAAAAAGTTTTTTAAACTGTATGGAAGTCAGTTTTGCTACTTTCATTAGTAAATATATGTAATAAATTTCTGTTGAAAATCAGTATACGTAATTTAGTATTGTGGGTATAGAAAATAACACTGTACTACTCTTATAATGGAACATTTCTCTTGTCTCTCAAATCCTGTTGCATCTTATGCTTGTTAGAAAAAGAGTTACATATGTTTGCTCATGATTGCATAATAACATAAAATAGTCAATAAATGTAAGTTTCGCAATAGATATCGCGTTTATGTTAAAAGACGTTTGAAATAAATTCAAAAGTGATGTAAATCGTGTTCAACTTATATAAGTTTTTAAATGCTGAAAGGAAATTTCAATCAAAAAGGTGCAACAATTGCCGCTGCCTCACCCCTACTTGTCGGTAACGAAGCACATTCGTGCCATTTATTTGAATGCGGATCGTAACATTCAACGGTAGAAATTGTGATTTGCCTTCGATAAAAATTAATTTCCTGAGTCAGATCACCTCCTATAATGTAGAGTCGACTATCGGCTGCTGCAACTGCAGGATATGATCTGCCCATATTCATAGGTGCAACAGTGCTCCATTTATTCTAAAATATAAAACCTTAAAAATACAAAGAATTTGAAGAAAATTAGAACATATTAGTAGTCAAATCACCTTTTCAAAAGAATAACGTTCAACAGATGTTAAAACCTCTTGATTTCTATTAGTACCACCAACAACATAAAGATATCCGTCAAGAATTGTAATTCCCATTTGTGAACGTGGTGTAAGCATTGGAGCTAAATAAGTCCATTCCCTTGTTATAGGATTATAACTCATTACATCTTGACGGTGCCTACTGTTATGGGTGCAACCACCCACTACATATATTAAACCTAAACAAGGTATTATCAACTCAGTGTTTTCGTAAACAAGATGTTATTAGATTAATAACACTTAAAAATTGTACTATTCTATTAAATTAATTTACCCTCGTAAGCAACTACTCCCATACTGAATCGAGGTTCGGGAAGTTGTCCATCAAGCGTCCAAGAATTAGTTATTGGATCGTATATTTCTATTGACCCACCAATATCTTCGCCTACCCAACCACCAAATGCATATAAACTATTATCCAAGGCACAAAGTCCAAATTCACATCTGGGTTCTTCCATGCAGGCAATAGAAGTCCACTTGTTATCACGTGGATCATAACATTCGCAATTGGCAATAATACACGATTCCAATTCGCCGCCAACGACATATACTTTGCCGTTTAACAATGCCACTCCCGGTAGTATTCGCCCTATACCTATCGGCGCTACTTCACTCCATTCGCTACAAAAATAATTAACTCCATTAATGAAAATGATCTAATGATCTTTATAAGGATTAATAGGAAATTGTACCCTGTGAATATGTCATATTTTTCAATCGTTTCATAAGTACTTTCACAAGCTCTACCCCAACAGTCTCCTGAATGTTCGCGTCTCGATCCACCAATTACTAAAATATTCTTTTTAGCGCAAAGTCTAGGTTGTGCGTGAAGAGGCACAAGACATCCTTTATTTGATATTAAATCCTTTTGTATAGATCTCAATGCAACAATCAAACTGGCGTCTTTACATTCCAAAATAACCCCTTCCAATCTCGCTAATGAACACAGCCGTAAACGAATATGACTTAATATTTCAAATACATAACATCTTCTTGTTGGTATATCATGGACAATCCAATTATATGCTGCTTGGAAGACCTGTTAACATATTATTTAAAATATTAGAAACAATGATATGCTTACACTAGTCTCAATCAATTAAATTAATACCTGAAATTCAGTATCAATATGAATGTAATCACTACTAAGAAAATGAACAAGATGTTCTTTCGGCAGATCCAAAAATTCTTCCTCCTGTGATACTTGAGGAAAATTGACTTGTATAAAGCGTAGGGCAGTTTCCAAAAGATCTAATCTGTTATGTGCTTCTGCAAATCTATTTAATACAATAATTTCAGAGAATAATACTATAAAATATTGTAATTACACTTAGTGAACCTACAATTTACATAATGTTTTCCTTCAATCTTACTGATCTCACCTATAAATTCCAAGAGCATTGGAGTAATGAAGTTGCTGTTTTAAGTAAGTAATGCAACCAGACACTACTTCATCTAATTCTAACATATCAGCAGCTGCAAATAATTCTTGAACATTGTCCTGAGTGATATCAACATTCCCAGTATAAATGAAATCGATCAGAAGGGAAAGAATATTAGCTGATACTGAATGAATTTCCACCAATTCTTGTTGTTCTTCAACAAGACCACCAGTAAACATAGCATTGAAGTATGCACTTCCTGCTGCTAAAACTGATCTATGTGCTCTAATGACACTACCACCAGCAACCAAACCAACATCACTAAATTGATTCTTTAATCTTTGAGTATTTAAGTTTCTCAAGACTTTGGGGGCATATTGCCCCACTGCATAGACAATATTAGAAACATCTGAAGTTTGCTTTACTGGTTGCGTTGCAAAACCCATATTATTACAGTTATGGGCATTCTTTATTGGTGGCACTGCACCATCCGCCATGAAACCATCAAGTTGTCTTTTATCTGCAGTTCCTAATGAATAAATAATAACATTTGCCACATATATTTATTTAGAACATTTTAATAAGATATTTTTTAATCTTATACAGCTAAAAATAATACATATTAATTATGTTCTTTGTTAATAGATTTTTATTTTTTAAGCTTTATTAGAAATTTATGTCATCAAGAATTAAATATAAAGAAGAGGATACTGTAGTAACAGATATTACAGTAAGTTTAAAGTGAGTGTAATTTTTGATCACACTTTTTTAATTTATTTAGTATCTCTTAAAAAAGAAAAATTAATAATTTGAATACTTTCATCAATTAATATTTCATATATGTAAGAATACTTACGACATATACGCGAGAGCACCTTATAGACGCTATGAAATGATTTTGTATTATTTTTCCCTTTTAAACGCATCACTACCACCACATTTTCACGTATTTATTATTGCTTGATACCAATTTCCATTTGCTTTATTCTCTTACTGACTCTACCAATTAGTCACTAATTCAGTAATACAAAATCTGACATATGTCAAATAACCTATTTAGTATATGAAAGTAGCTACAAGAGAATCAGTAATAAGTATATATATTCGTACCACACCTACGAGATAAGTTACAGAGTTTAAATGACAAAGTACAATGATATTCTTTATTGAATATAAAATCGACTATTCCATTTGTAACTTAAGAAAACACAAATTCCTTGCGTATTCTATACATTTAAATTAAAGCTTTCGATTCACACATTCTACTCGTTCGATTTTAGTAATTCAATTATGAGTTCATCGGCTTGCAGTTATACCAACAATATGAGCATGAACAATCGTTAAATTCAGATAATTAAAATGAATTAACAATAGCTTTCCATTGTATTAGATTCTTTTTTTACACAAACAGAATGTTACATGTATTTAATTCGATGAACAAGTACCTTAATATTTTTCGGGTCAGCTGATTGACATTGGTAGTGGTACCAATGATTTCCATAACTTAGCCTTGTTCATCATGTACGATGAATATAAATTATCTCATTTTTCTCTAAATTAGGTCTTTTACATCATAATTTCGAGCTTGGTACTTTTAAATTAAGAAAATCAATCATTCTTTTTATTTTTGAACATATATAATAACATTATATAACCGAACTATTTTATTTTTATTAATATTTTAACATGACGAACATTTCAAGAAAAAGAAAAACCCCATCAAAACTTAAGGTAAAGTAATTATTTATTGAAATAAATAAACGAAAAACTTGGTCTTTCATTTATATGTCTGTTTGCAGAGTGTGGGTAATCATGATGAGTTCTTAAATCGTATATCAAAGTCGCTTTATTATTCAAAGTTACCAGGGACTGATTGCCTCAGTTTACCTGTTACTGGTTAGTATAAACATTCCAGATTTTTTATTTATATATTTTACATTCAAATAAAAAATTATTACATAGTCTCATCTTATGATAGAAACAAAATAATCTTAGAAACTTTTAATTATGAATAAGATGTATCTTTTCAGCATCATATGTTTTATTTATTTGGTACAGAAAATTAAAAAAAGAATAGATTGGAGAAGAGTTATTTGTATTAATAATACTGTACAATTAATTAAATGCTTTGCAGCATTGGGAATTATATAATTAAACTTTATTCTTAGAACTGGCAGCAGAATTCTTTACTGAAGTAAAGAGTGGTCATACACTTGAAAGATTAGATGTGGAAGAAGCAAGTAAAATTTCTAGAAATGCATGTGTTTCACCATGTTCCCTTGTTTTGGCATTATTGTACTTAGAAAGATTAAAAGACTGTAATCCAGAATATCTTGAAAGGGTAGCACCTTCTGATCTCTTCCTTGTTTCTTTGGTACTTCATCTATATTGTCTGTTATATAAAATTACATTGTTTCAAAAAATATTGTTACTTAAAACCAATCTCCTTTGTTCTACAGATGGTTGCTAGTAAATTTTTGAATGATGAAGGAGAAGAAGATGAAGTGTTTAATACAGAATGGGCACAATCTGGTGGTTTAAGTATATCATATATAAATCAGTTAGAAAAAGAGTTTCTTAAAGCTATTGTAAGCAAATCAAGTACATTATGTAATATGCTAACAATATAGTACATTAATAATTGAAACCTTCTATTTAGGACTGGACTATTTTTGTTCACAATCAGGACTTTTGGGAAAGGTTGCAGAAGCTAGAAAAAGATATAGCTTATAAAGAAGCACAGAAAAGAGGGTGGTTTTCATATACAGAATTAAGCTGTCTAATGAATTCAATGCAGTTAATAACAGTGGCACATGCTATGATAAATATATCATCTATTTGTTTGGCAACATACACTGCAGGAATAGTCACCCTTCTGGGTTCTGCTTTAGTTGCAAGTTACTTCCCAGGGACAATGCTTAGTCCCAAACAAATAACAAATTCTACAGACATTATAAAAACAGATTTGAACCCAGTAATTGATGTAACAGAAATAGCTATTGAAACTTTGCCAGAAAATGTTTTTACAGCCGATTTTATGTCTAATACACTGAATTGCAATCAAACTAAACGAAACAGTGAAAATATCGAATCTGATGAAATTGAAAATATAGGCTGGAAATGGTGGCTAAATCCAGCTATGATCTGGTTACAGGATACTCAAGATTGGAACCAAAATACCGATTGTACGGAACAAACGATAAAATTAAACGTAACAAATACATTAATGACAAGTACTAAGTTTTTACTTGACGTTACTACATTAATACGGAATTCTGATGAATTTTTAATGAATATAAATTGGAAACAAATTCTGGGTATAGATTTAAAGATTGTGTTGCGAGATTGGAGATATTATGCAAATTATGTTAAAAAAATAACTGTTGATCATCAACACTGAAAGTTATATATTGAAAAAATGAAAAATTTTATAAAGCAAAAAGTCTTTATTAGAAAGATTTATAGAAAAGAAAAATATATATTTTTTGTACTAACTTGTAAATTCATAAACAATCTCTATACTAACAACTCAATTTTTCCAATAAAGAACGTGAAACGAAAATTCGTTTCTAAAGTTATTCTAATCCTCAAAATCCTTAGATCTAACTCATGGGGAAATAATAATATTAAAATAGAAGACATAAATAATACATATATCTATTGCTAATGCTGCTTAAATAATGTCAATAGTACAGTTATTTTACACATATTATTACATTAAATACATACATTATGGAGATTAAATTATATTACATAATTTTATGATTGTCATAAATTAATATTGTAAATAGTTATATATAACTTTTAGTTCAGTTAATAATGTGAGTGAATATTTTTGTTGGTTCTATCACTACACTTTGACATATTGTGCAAGGTGGAGATACCTCTGTTGTAATATTACAATTATTGAAGCATCTATTATTCATAACTTCAACCAGCATGGTGAAAATAGGAAAAAATAGGAATAGGTGCCATCCCAATAATACAGCCAATTGTAACTCCAATAACTCGGCCCTGAATTTATAAATTATGTTTTCTTAGTTGAAGTAATTTATCAATATAAAGTGAAATATAGAAGCAAATAAATCATACCATATTTGCAGCTGCTTTTGTCTTTTTAAGATTTAACTGTATAGGAGTAAGCTTTGGTGCTTCAAATCCAACTTTTTGTGCAAAACGTTCTACATAATGTACAGATCCAATTCCTATTATATCAGATATTGTATTTCCTAATGCTGCAGCTGCTATAGTTGATATTGGAAATCTTTTATTTAACATTATTTCAATTTGATCACCCTGAAATAAGCATGTTACAAATTGGAAAATACATTTTATATCACAGTGATACGTACAGCAACAATCATGATGAAGTTGTCAAGAAAACCAAAGCCGATGAATGGTATTGCATTTGAAATTGCAACTGCAAGAATATTATCTAACATTATTACACCATTTTTTCTTTAGTATGTATCTTTTTTATAACAGCTCAGATTCAAAGCATTTTATGTAAGTACACTTTATTAAGTGTAAGTAATGTTAAATTTCATACCTAATATTAGTTCTTTCATGGATGGTTCTGGAACAGTTTCAACTGTAATGGGAAAGAAAAATAAAAGTAAATATATCTATTTGTATGTAACATAGCATTATGTACATAGATAATAATCTAGTAAAAAATTACTAAGTACAAATTATAATCCTCGTATTACTTACAAAACAAAGTGATTAACATTCATGCATGTATTTTACATATGCAAACAATTTTAAATAATAATTATTTATATACAGAATGCTATATGAAGTTGTTTAAAATTTATATAACAAACAAATTAAAGAAAATCTAAAGGACAATTAATGAACTAATTAATTAATTAAATACACGAGATGTTGAAAAACAAAACTTTATTTAAACAAAAAGTACATTTCTTCTATGTAAAACATATAACATTAGAGTTATGCTAGATAGTGTAACAGATATTAAATATTTTAACATTTTATAGAATAATTTCAGCAAAAAGTTCTATATAAAATTACTCTCAGAACCATGCAAAATTATAGAATATATAAAGGAATAAATCAAATAATCTAAATAAATCTTAGGAATTGTTTTAATAGAGATCTTTAAAATTATTTACCTAAATCTTTAACTTATTTGTATAGAGGTATCTTGCAATGTTCATGTGTTCATTGTTGAATTAATTGGGGGAATTTATATTCAAATTACTCAGTGGAACTGTATAACAAGTAATTTAAATAACAGTTCTATTAAAGAAAGGTATGAAATATAAAATTAATGCAGCATGTATTAAACATTTCTATAAAATTAATAAATATTTATCATTATATATTATGTTCTTATTTAAAATGAGCAAACACATAATTTATATAGTTATTTTAATGTAGAAAGTATGATGTAGAAACATAACTTAAAAAGTTTTAATTGGCTTTAATGTATAATATTGTAATACATGTGTCAAAATCAACAGTAAGAATGTATTACCTAAGTGTGGCTCTGTAGTTGTCTTTTTAAAATATCCAAAAAGTTCAGTCAGAGTAGAAGAAGCAAGTAAAAAGAATTAAAACACATAGTTGAATGAAATGTATTGTTTAATATATATTATAATAAACTTACAAAGTGATGTCCATGTAGAATGCGATGGAAGGAAATATTTTAAACTGTTAAAGAATAATGAAAATTACACTGAATCACAATATGATAATAATAAATATTTTCACCTCTAAAATTGAAATCATTAGCATATTTATATCATATTAGATCATTATTATGAACTAATCAAAATATGTAGTATCAAGATTTATATATTTTAGTAGTACAAGGAAGTTATTACACCTTAATATTCGTTAATCTTTTTAAGGAATTAATTAATATACTAAAATTCCTACCATACTTGCGCATAAGCCAATCCTCAGGTACAGGGCAATAACTTCCTGTTGGATCCACATCACCTAATGATGTTATTTTGCTAGGCCTTCCAAGCTTATTACACCATCGAAAGGCAGCTAATTGTCCTTGAAAATATAAGATTTTTTTATTATATTTTTGACTGAACTTTATATTTAACCAAGACACAAATTATAAAAATATGAAATAATAATTACGTTGATATTCAACTCTGTCTTCTTCTGATTTACATTCTTTTAGGGCTTTTAACAAAAAATCTCGTTCGTCTGTGGTGAGTTTTTCTGCCACTTTTTTTGCTTTTTCTTTAGTTAAACCGCCAGGAAAAGCTTCTTTACTGTCGGTACTGTAACATGTCCTTTGCAT